ATTGTTGTCTTATGTGACGTGATTAAACAAGAACTGTGGTCTGAGTCACAGCGAACAGACGAGGTCCAACCAGCATCGAGGAGCTCGGAGGACGACATCTGGAGCTGTGACATAATCAGAAAAGCAGCTCTTATTGTGAAAAGCCGGGTCTCTCATAAACTTAACCAGGATTCAACAGGAAGTTCATCCTGAACTACGGGGACCCGAGTCTGGAAAGTAAAACATACTGAAGAACTTAAAAGTGATTTATCCGACCAGAACCTCTGAGTTTGAGACGTCGTACAACTGGAGTTCTGGACCCAACCCGATACACTTCCTGTCTGTGGCTGCTCCCTCGTTCCTACCGCAGATATCACGTAGACTCTCTCTCTCTCTCTCTATCTCCCCCTGGTGGCTGACTGCAGTATAGACTCTCTCTCTATCTCCCCCTGGTGGCTGACTGCAGTATAGACGCTCTCTCTATCTCCCCCTGGTGGTCGCTGCGTTCCTGTGGACCGGACTACAGGAAATATCGCTAACTAACTCTCTAAACACCTGTTTTATTTACGGTCGCTCCAGTTTATTAAACTGAGAAACCACAATCTACATCAGTTTACTCTATATATTTATAATCTCCACCTCGCTGTCAGACAGACCTTACTCACAGGAACTACAGCCGTTACATCCCTCTGTCCTCTCTTCAGATCCACCAGACTCCAGTGATAAAAACAGTGATTTTACCTCACAGCACACAGCAGTTTCTGGTTCTACTGCTGCCTCCGTCTGCAGCGACTGATGTTAGTTCTGATCTGAATTAATGTGGTAAAACACCAAAGTCACACAATGTCACCAACAGACTGACCAACGGAGGCAGCGGTAGACCAACGGCTGCTGTGTGCTGTGAGCTTAAATCACTGTTTTTATGACTGGAGTCTGGTGGATATAAAGAGAACAGACAGCGAGGTAAACTGATCCACAGTCAGTGTTTGGATCCAGATGTTTCCTCTTTATAACGTCACACTCACGTCCAACATCGGGATTTCCTCTCTGATATCGTTTAAACTTCGCTCAGCTTTCACTTCCCGCCTCCTGCACGCTAATTAGCCCCAATATCTCTGTGTAGTTCATATTTTCTGTTTACAGTTAACGGATCAATAAATGTCCTCGGTTTATTAAAAGCTCTATTAGCTGTGTGTAAACCACTTTATACTCTGGATGTAATGGTGCGTTCTATTTGTCCACCGAACTCGATCTCCGAGTCGGTTTCCTGAGTTAAGAACAGGAAGTTGCAAACAGAACGCTCCCGAGGTCGTAACGTTATAAACGACTCCTGAAGTCGTCTGAACTCGAGTTCAGTTACCAAGCTGGCAACTCCGAGCATCACATGTAGTAAACATTGAGGTTTTCTACTATTTTAACCACTTTTGTCTTTGTTGTAACCAAATGAAGAAGTCGTACACACAGCACTGTATACTGTTACCTATAGGCATGTTGCTACAGTCTTATTATGAGTTAAATTCTTGTTCTTGACCCCAAAAACCTTAGAGACTCAGTGTCTAAAGATATAGTCACTCTAGATGGCATTAACTTGGCCTCTAGCACCACTGTCAGGAATCTTGGAGTTATCTTTGATCAGGATTTGTCATTTAACTCCCACATAAAGCAGACCTCTAGGACTGCCTTCTTTCATTTACGTAATATTAGAAAAATTAGACACATCCTATCACAGACAGATGCAGAAAAACTAATCCATGCATTTGTTACTTCAAGGCTGGATTACTGCAACTCTTTATTATCAGGTTGCCCCAATAAGTCCATTAAAACGCTCCAATTAATTCAGAACGCTGCAGCACGAGTACTGACAGGAACTAGAAAAAGAGATCACATCTCTCCTGTACTAGCTTCTCTGCACTGGCTCCCTGTAAAATGTAGAATAGAATTTAAAATCCTCCTCCTCACCTATAAAGCTCTTCATGGTCAGGCCCCTTCATATCTTAAAGAGCTCATAGTACCCTATTACCCCACTAGAACACTACGTTCCTAACTATGTTACTAACTCCACTTCTTCCCCGGAGTTCTTGTGCTTTCTCGTCTCGCAGGTTCTCATGGATCCTGGTGGAGCCTCCTGCCATGGTCCTGCTTGACTGCCATTGCCAATACTGTTGTTGCTGTGCACCTGTCTGTCTGTCTGTCTGTCTGTCTCTCTCTCTCTCTCACCCCAACTGGTCGAGACAGACGACCACCCACCTAGAGCCGGAGGATCTGTCCTAGGTTTCTGCCTTTTAACAGGCAGTGTTTCCTTGCCCTTGTCTCCAAGGTCTTGCTCATGGTGGTACTGTTGGGTCTCTGTAATTAATGTTAAAGAGTTCGGTCTAGACCTGCTCTATTTGAAAAGTGTCCTGAGATAACTTCTGTTATGAATTGGCGCTATACAAATAAAATTGAATTGAATTGAAATGAGCCTCATTAGTTACTTTGTAGCTCGTGCAGCTGAAAGTGGCTCGAGACGCTCCATGTTGCTATGACAACAGTGCCGAGTCTTGAGCAGGAAGCAGAGCAGTAACCACGGTAACGGTAACGTTAAAGAGAACGGAGTATTCAGATATCAAACTGTGAGATATGATTGTGTAATAATGAAAGTGTGAATAATCACTATCAACGTTACCAAACCTCCAGACAGAACTCAAAGACCCGCGGTTACTCGTTCTCCAACACGGGTGTGACGTCGCTCTCGAGCTGCAAGTCGCGATTACGAGACAAAACGAACGCACCATTAGCATGCAGCTAACGAGCTCTCGTCCAATCAGAGGTTGAGTTTTCCCGCCTGCGAGTGAATCTTCAGCGATTTCATACAAATGATTGATAATTAATCAATAAATGAATGAAACTGTTTATAAACTGAACCCAGCCGTCAATCATGAGTGACATCAGCAGTGGCCAATCCCGTGGTTTGGAATGTTGTTGGTGGGCGTGGCTTCGCGGTAAAAGCTGATCACTGATTGGATCGTTAACAAACTGCATCCACACAAACATTCAATAATCAATGAACTTATTACTAATAATGATTAAATATTACACAATACTACCCACAATGCAACACAAGATCTTCTACTGAGCTTCTATTTTAGAACATTTATTTAGTTTAAATAATCAATAAGGTCAAAAGTCCCAGACCTGAGGAGAGGAGCAGGTCTTACAGAGTAAAGCTGATCAATAAAGCTGATCAATAAAGCTGATCAATCAAACCGATCAAAGTAATGATTCAGTGTTCTGACTTTATTAAATCCAAACATTATTTCTCATTCTGTGTTTTTATAGGTGATCAATAATATTAGGATCAGCTGATTGATCAATAATCATTTATTGTCATTCTAATAAAACTGATCAATAGACTGAACTGTTGTTGTTTGTTTGTTTACAATAATGATGTCAGATTGTTTAGATTTCAAACATTAAATCATCTTCATCATTCTCACCTCAATCAATCATCGATATCTGAAGCAGCTGATTATCGATTATTGGATCAGTTTCAGAATTTTATTTTCATGTTTCTGAATGAATTTGATTTCTTTGATATAAAATAAATAAAAATATAAATGAATGAAGAGAAGCTGAATGTTTCCTGTTGATTTTATATCGATTGTATATCGATTTTATATTGATTTTATATTGATTTTATATTTTACACAGAAACGTGACGAGAGGACGTCACCGGACTGAGGATTAACGGAATCCGGTTTGTGAGTTAAAGCCGTTGATGAGTGATAATCAATAATAAAGTGAGTGAATGCCGTTAATCCCCGATAATCAATCAGTAATCGATAATAAAGTCAGACTCACTGTTTCAGCTCTGCGGAGGTTTCAGATTAAAGCGGTTCAAACTGCGTCGTTCAGTCGGTCTCCTGTTGATCTCAGTCCCGGTGTTTCCTCCCGGTGTATCTGCCCGGTACCGGCTCCGGTACCCGCTCCGGTACCCGCTCCGGTCCGCTCCGGTTCGCGGCTCTTTCAGGTTAAAGGTGATTGTTGTTGTTGTTGTTGTTTTTATTTGAAGATGACGTGTTGTTTTGAGGATCCAGAACCTGATCGCTGATCGATTATTGATCGTTTTTATTGACAGCTGAACGGAAAAAGCCCGCTGACATTGTTGACACCGTCTCGCGCTTCGTCCTGTTGATTCACCTCCTCTTCATCAGAGTCTTCCTCAGAGTCTTCCTCACAGTCCGACCTTTACTGCTGAGTCCTCTCCGCTCTCATCACTCATCCATCAGTGGACTGTAACCCGGTACCGGGACCCGGACCCGGTTCTCGGTCTGTTGATGTTCGCGGACTTCCAGACGACCTGAAGCTCGCGAGCCCGCGGTCCGTCCTTGGATCCTGACGCTCGCTCCCGCGTGCAGACGGAGGAGAGGAGAGCGCGCGGCCGCCGGAGCGCGGGCACGAGCCTCTCTCTGGTCTCAGTGAACCGTGCTCGTGCCCGCGCGCTCGCTAAACACCTTCACACTCACCTTTAACGTGTAAAGTCACGCGCTTAATCTTACTGAATGTTACTATTGATATAATATCATGATATTATACTAATAATAATAATAATAATAATAATAATATAATAATATAATAATAATAATAATATAATAATATAATAATAATAATAATAATAATCCTATAATATTATAATACTAATAATAATAATATAACATAATAATAATAATGTAATAATAATAATAATGATAATAATATAATAATAATATAACAATAATAATAATAATAATAATAATAATAATAATAATAATAATAATATAATAATATAATAATAATATAACATAATAATAATATAACATAATAATAATATAACAATAATAATATAACAATAATAATAATAATAATACTATAATAATAATAATAATAATAATAATAATATAATATAATAATAATAATAATAATAATAATAATAATAATATAATAATATAATATAATATAATAATAATAATAATAATATAATACTATAAAAATAATATTATAATAATAATGTAATATAATATATTTATAATCTGTAAACCAAGAGAATTTAAACATTTTGTTACATTTTGTTGTTTTCTGTCCATTAGAGGTCAAAGTTTTCTTCAAATCAAACACTGAACCCTGAAAGTGCCACACATCAATGTTATTACACTGTAGACTGTTTTGATTACAGTAAGTAATCGATAAGTAATCAATAAGTAATCAATAAGTCAACGTCTTGCTGAGATCAAAACAACAGCAGAAGAAGAAATCCAGCATTCAGGCTTCTTCTTCTGTGGTTGTCTCTGTGTTTTTTACATTGCTCTCCAGATCCACTGCCAGCACATATGGTTGCCACGGCAATGTGGATGCAGCTCCAGATCCTTACTGTGGTTGCCACGGAAACAAGCATCTCCAACCCTCATTTCCTTATCCCCTCTGCTCACCACAGTCTACCTTATAATTAACACACGCACAGCTAATTTAAGATACTTTAACCCTGAACAGGTGTGTTTACATCAGTCCACGTTCCAGACCGGAACCAGACCGGAACCAGATCTGAACCAGATCCAGGTTTCACTCTGTCCAGTTCTCCACATGAACAACCTGCTTCTGAATCATCATTAAATCATCCAATTAGAGCTTCAGACTCTGTTGCTGTGCAGCTTATACATTTCTGTCTGTTAGCCTCTGTCTGTTAGCTTCTGTCTGTTAGCCTCTGTCTTGGTTAGCTTCTGTCTGTTAGCCTCTGTCTGTTAGCCTCTGTCTGTTAGCCTCTGTCTGTTAGCTTCTGTCTTGTAGTTTCTGTCTTGTAGTTTTTGTCTTGTAGTTTTTGTCTTGTAGTTTCTGTCTTGTAGTTTCTGTCTTGTAGTTTCTGTCTTGTAGTTTTTGTCTTATAGTTTTTGTCTTGTAGTTTCTGTCTAGTAGTTTCTGTCTAGTAGTTTCTGTCTAGTAGTTTCTGTCTAGTAGTTTCTGTCTAGTAGTTTCGGTCTTATAGTTTTTGTCTTGTAGTTTCTGTCTTGTAGTTTCTGTCTTGTAGTTTCTGTCTAGTAGTTTCTGTCTAGTAGTTTCGGTCTTATAGTTTTTGTCTTGTATTTTCTGTCTTGTAGTTTCTGTCTTGTAGTTTTTGTCTTGTAGTTTCTGTCTTGTAGTTTCTGTCTTATAGTTTCTGTCTTATAGTTTTTGTCTTGTAGTTTCTGTCTTGTAGTTTCTGTCTTGTAGTTTTTGTCTTGTAGTTTCTGTCTAGTAGTTTCGGTCTTATAGTTTTTGTCTTGTAGTTTCTGTCTTGTAGTTTTTGTCTTGTAGTTTCTGTCTTGTAGTTTCTGTCTTGTAGTTTTTGTCTTGTAGTTTCTGTCTTGTAGTTTCTGTCTTGTAGTTTTTGTCTTGTAGTTTTTGTCTTGTAGTTTCTGTCTTGTATTTTCTGTCTTGTAGTTTTTGTCTGTTAGCTATGTGGAAGACACATGATGACATCATTGTCTCCTGTGTGTGAGCTCAGCTGTGAACAGGAAGTAGGACACATATGACCTCACAGTTCTTTCTCTGGTGTTCATGAGGAGAGGGTTTCCTTCAGCTTCCAGGCCACTGAGTCAGCACACACACACACACACACACACACACACACTATAAACACACACACACACACACACACACACACACACTATAACACACACACACACACACACTGTAACACACACACACACACTATAACACACACTCACACACACTGTAACACACACACACACACACACACACACACACACACACAATATAACACACACACACATACACTGTAACACACACACACACACACACACACTGTAACACACACACACACACACACACACTCAGTGATGCTCTTTTTTTCCCCAGTTGAGCGTGTTGTAAGGCGGACAGAGAGATGCATGCTGGGACGCCTTTGTAGCCCGCTGAGTCCCGGGGGGGGCAGTGTCACTGTGTGTGTGTGTGTGTGTGTAGCTGGTTGCACAGTCACAAGTGTCAGACAGTATCAGTCATCCTCCAGCAGCCTGAAGCTAACGGAGCCACAGTCAAATGTTTCTACATGAACAGTTTAATGAGGACGCTTTAACCGACCTGGACACGAGCTGAGGACTACAACCCCCACAGAACCAGCCTCTGAGTTCATATCTATAATATTACATAATAATAAATACAACAATAACACATAATAACACCTAGAGCCAAATACAAATAAAATAAAATTGAATGAAATAATAGTAATAATAATTAATCAGGAAGCAGCGATGACAGATCAGATCACCACACAAGGCTTCCTGTTGGCAGTGTGTTGGCGCTATCACTATGACTGAATATTAAAATGTCGATGTGTTGAGGGCGGGACTCCAACAACAACAACCTGAAGCTGAAAACAGAGAAAGACAAACAGATAATTGTCTCCCAGACAGAGAAAGAGGTTCAGCTGTTACCATGGAAATCAACTCCTGGACACACATCTGTATCAACCTCCTCAAGAGGAGAGGGAGGGAGGGAGGGAGGGGGGAGGGGGAGGGAGGGAGGGGGGAGAGGGAGAGAGAGAGAGAGAGAGAGAGAGTGGCTGATTGCCTCCAGCCTTTATAGTCCAACCACCAGACCAGGTGAACTTAGACCAGACTCAGAGGGTCGTCACTGTCCTCTGTTGGAGAGCTGCTGATGTCTGCTGTCCTCCCCGTCTCTCTCCCTTTTTATTGGCTGTCGGGATCCCACTCCCTCAGGCTGCTCCCACTCCCCCAGGCCGCTCCCACTCCCTCAGGCCACTCCCACTCCCTCAGGCCACTCCCACTCCCTCAGGCCACTCCCCCTGCACCAGGTTCTGATGAGTTTTTGGTTGTGAAGGGTTGAACGGTTGTATATGACTCCCATAATCAGATAAAGTAATTATTGTAGGTGATTTTAATATTCATGTGGATGTTAACAATGACAGCCTTATTATATATATTTATATATGTATAAATAAACACATTTATATCATTAATAGACTCAATTGGCTTCTGTCAGAGTGTAAATAAACCCACTCATTGCTTTAATCACACTCTTGACCTTGTTCTATCATATGGCATTGATATTGAACATTTAATAGTCTTCCCACATAATCCTTTCCTATCTGTCCATTATTAATAACTTTTATTAGATAATACTTATAAACAGACGTCTGACAGTGCTGGAGCTGGATGGTGTGTGAATATAACAGAGGGTGAACTCCTCACAGGGAATTTATCCACCGGTTTATGACTGTACGGTGAACCCGTCAAACAGGAAGTTGTCATAACTTCAGCGTACATGATCCAATCTCAGTGATAGTATAGATATAGTGAGAGCGCCACCTAGTGGCAACAGGAAGTAAATGTTTTATACGTCTATGTATGACTCCGAGCAGGTTGATCGGATCCAGCTGAGTTTGATCAGAAGTCTCTTCAGACATTGATGATGATATGTGATGAATCTTGTGACTGTTTGTCATACACTGTTGCCATGGCAACGAGGCAAATGTTGGTATTAACTTTTTAACAGTTGATGACAGTTTCGGGGGGTAGCCTATGGGCTGATTTTTGTGTCAGTAGAAACTGAATTTGAATCATTTAGAACTGAATCTGAATTGCTCAACTTGAATAATTGCATTAAAAGACTGAATCTGAATAGCATAAATTGAATTTTAATTTATTAGTTTGAAACTGAATTCAAATAAACTTAAAACTGAATATAATATTATGAATCTGAATTCACTTGCAACTGAAACTGTATTTGAGCCTCACTAAAAATTCAACTTTTCATGTACTTTCACTTTCAGTTCTCTCAATTCAATTTCAATCCACAAAATTCACTTTTAAGGTCACAGACAGGTCAAGGTCATTCAGTAAGAGCAATCGAGTGCAGAGTAAGCCTGCATTCTTTCCAACAGCCAGCAGAGGGCGACTTCAATGGATGAAGAAGCCCAGTTCCATCAGAAATAATGGCAAAATAAGTTTCCCACCTGACTGTTATCTCATTAAACATTTTTCTTATGAGTTTTGAGTCCTTTTCAACACAACATGATGTTCATTTAAAGGTGAAACTTCCGATCCTATTTAGAGGAAAATAGCCGATAAAGCAGGGTGTGCTTTAGGGCGGGGCTACCTTGTGATTGACAAGTCTGTGGCGACCTGTCAATCAAGCAAGAGTGACTCTATCTACTGCACTGTAAATCTGAGCCCCGACATAGAAAAGACGTATTAGGAGTCGGCTGTTCATTTTTTTACTTAGTACATTTTGTTTTTTGCTTGCCAAAAATAGCGTCCTGATTAAAATCATAGTTTAACATGAATTAATCAATCCCTGCAAGCTAATGTAACGTCTTCTTTTAACTCCGGCCGACTCGGCACTGTTCAGTAGTGGTGGGCAGATCGATGCAAAATATCGATATATCGATCCAACGTTGGTATTGATCGATACCAGTGTAATGGGACCGCACTGTCCTCACTGCTGCGGAGGCGACCTGTCTGTCTGTCTCTGTGTAAGTGCCGCTGCTTTTGAGTTCCGCTCCTGTCACAGCGCGGCGCACAGCCAGGCACAGCCAGCGCACAGCCAGCGCTGTAAGGCACTACACCCCCCCCCTGTCGGACGGAGCAGCGGGAAAGGAGCGCCGTAACTATCGGCTCGAGCTCTGTGCATCTGCACTCGATTGCTCTTACTGAATGACCTTGACCTGTCTGTGACCTTAAAAGTGAATTTTGTGGATTGAAATTGAATTGAGAGAACTGAAAGTGAAAGTACATGAAAAGTTGAATTTTTAGTGAGGCTCAAATACAGTTTCAGTTGCAAGTGAATTCAGATTCATAATATTATATTCAGTTTTAAGTTTATTTGAATTCAGTTTCAAACTAATAAATTAAAATTCAATTTATGCTATTCAGATTCAGTCTTTTAATGCAATTATTCAAGTTGAGCAATTCAGATTCAGTTCTAAATGATTCAAATTCAGTTTCTACTGACACAAAAATCAGCCCATAGCAGCCTCCCTGATTCACGTGTCAGAGGTCATATATTTTCACACACCTGACATGAAGTCGGCCATTTTGAATTAGTTGGTCCTTTTTGCACCAACTGTCTTCTTCTAGTACCAAAACAAATATGGACGCCAAAAAGCAGCTTGAAATGTGAATATTCAGCTTCTCTCAGACTGAATGCTGCTCTCTGATTGGTTGGTTCTGGATGCTTCCTGTAATTAACTAAGTACTTTCTAAATGCTGATACACACGCCTGTTTAATTATGACTGTCCCTGTGTGTGTGTGTGTGTGTGTGTGTGTGTGTGTGTGTGTCTATTTAATTATGCTAAGTTGCCGTGTTAAACAGGAAGCCTCCGGTCATCCATTAACACACTCACACACACACACACACACACACACACTCAGATGCTCATAAATTAAACATCTTGTCGACCTCTTACTGTCAGATCAGTTGTAGTTATATTTGCATTTATCTTATTTAAAGTCATAGAACGAGTTACTGTCTGTGATCTGAGCTCGGCAGGAACACTTTGTTTCCTTTAACATTCTTATTATTATCTGTTCTATTTGATAGCAGCGGCTGTATAATATATAATATCTGTATTATTTCTGTATTATATCTCTAATATAACTGTATTATATCTGTATTATTTTTGTATTATATCTCTAATATATCTGTATTATATCTGTAATATATCTGTATTATATCTGTATTATTTCTGTATATATATCTGTATTCTTTTTTTTGGTAAGTATTTTTTGGGGCTTTTATTGCCTTGATGATAGTGACAGCTGAAGACAGACAGGAAAGGGGGCAGAGAGAGGGGATGGGTCGAATTCAAACCCTGGGCTGTGTTATTATTACATTATTCCTGTATTGCATCTGTATATAATAAAATTATTACTATTAGAGACAAAATTAATCACCAAATGCCCTCAACAGGTATCACTGGCTCCCCAGGTTTAGGGACTTTAACTGATGTAAACTCACATATATATTTAGACTGTTTTTCTGCTATCAATCTTCATCAGTTAACTTCAATCATTTCTTCATCGAAGCCATCAACCTGTCTATTAGACCCGATCCCAACTAGGCTGCTTAAAGAAGTTGTTCCCTTAAATGGCACTTCTTTACTGGATATGATTAATCTTTCTTTATTATCAGGATATGTACCACAGTCCTTTAAAGTAGCTGTAATTAAACCTGTAATGGTAGATTCAGTTTCTTTGTTTCAGCCACTGCAGATGCCCAACCTCCCCCTTCCTAACACAAGATGCCAGGTCCTTTTGAGTTTTGTAGATTGTGATGTCTGGACTTGGCTTTGCACCTGAATGCAAGATCCTGTAGAACACCTCATATGTAAAACACACCAGCAGGGGGTCGGCCCTGATGTCTGCAGTGGGCAGAGGGGTGGGAAAGCACTTCCTGGAAGGCCAGACCCCTACAGCAGACAAAGGGGTGTGAAAGAGGTGGTCCTCAGGTATAAATGTTTAGATATCCCCATGTTCGGGGTCCTTCTTCATCTTTGACCGCTCGTGTGTTGATTGACCTTTTCTTTGCAAAGAAAATAAACTTGTCTGGGCAGAAGTTCTCTATTTCATTCTTCACCAGCAGCAGAGAAATTTCCACAACAAACCCCTTCTTAAAAAGCCCACTCTTGACCCAGGGGTTTTAGCCAACTATAGACCGATTTCTAACCTCCCCTTCCTCTCTAAGATTCTGGAGAAAGTAGTCGCCAAAGAGTTGTGTGACTTTCTACATAACAATAGTTTATTTGAGGATTTTCAGTCAGGATCAGTAAGTTCATCATAGCACAGAGACAGCTCTGGTTAAAGTTAATAATGACCTTCTGACTGCTTCTGACAATGGACTTGTCTCTGTACTTGTATTATTAGATCTTAGTGCTGCATTTGACACCATTGACCATGATATTCTTTTACAGAGACTTGAGCATCAAATTGGCATTAAAGGAACCGCACTAAGCTGGTTTAAGTCATATTTATCAGATCACTCGCAGTTTGTACATGTTAACGATGAATCTTCAATAAATACTACAGTTAGTCATGGAGTTCCACAAGGTTCTGTACTTGGACCAATACTATTTACTTTATATATGCTCCCTTTAGGCAACATTATTAGGAATCACTCCATTAACTTTCACTGTTATGCAGATGATACGCAGTTATATCTATCAATCAAGCCTGATAAAAGTAAACAGTTATCTAAATTACAAACATGTCTTAAGGACATAAAATCCTGGATGAGCTGCAATTTTCTGATGTTAAACTCAGAAAAAAAGAAATTTTTGTACTTGGCCCCAAAAACCTTAGAGACTCACTGTCCAAAGATATAGTTACTCTAGATGGCATTACCTTGGCCTCTAGCACCACTGTCAGGAATCTTGGAGTTATCTTTGATCAGAATTTGTCATTTAACTCCCACATAAAGCAGACCTCTAGGACTGCCTTCTTTCATTTATGTAATATTACAAAAATTAGACACATACTATCACAGACAGATGCAGAAAAACTAATCCATGCATTTGTTACTTCAAAGCTGGATTACTGCAACTCTTTATTATCAGGTTGCCCCAATAAGTCCATTAAAACGCTCCAATTAATTCAGAACGCTGCAGCACGAGTACTGACAGGAACTAGAAAAAGAGATCACATCTCTCCTGTACTAGCTACTCTGCATTGGCTCCCTGTAAAATGTAGAATAGAATTTAAAATCCTCCTCCTCACCTATAAAGCTCTTCATGGTCAGGCCCCTTCATATCTTAAAGAGCTCATAGTACCCTATTACCCCACTAGAACACTACGTTCTCTGAATGCTGGGCTACTTGTGGTTCCTATAGTCTCTAAAAGTAGAACAGGAGCCAGAGCCTTCAGTTACCAAGCTCCTCTCCTGTGGAACCAGCTTCCAGTTGTGGTTCTGGAGGCAGACACCCTCACCACATTCAAGAGTAGGCTTAAGACATTCCTCTTTGATAAAGCTTATAGTTAGGGCTGGATCAGGTGAGTCCTGAACCATCCCTTAGTTATGCTGCTATAGGCCTAGACTATCGGGGGATTTCCCATGGTGCACTGAGCTCCTCCCTTCCTCTCTCTTTCTGCACTCATTCATGTCCCATTAATGCATGTTACTAACTTCACTTCTCTTTTTCTAGTTCCTGTCAGTACTCGTGCTGCAGCGTTCTGAATTAATTGGAGCGTTTTAATGGACTTATTGGGGCAACCTGATAATAAAGAGTTGCAGTAATCCAGCCTTGAAGTAACAAATGCATGGATTAGTTTTTCTGCATCTGTCTGTGATAGTATGTGTGTAATTTTTCTAATATTACGTAAATGAAAGAAGGCAGTCCTAGAGGTCTGCTTTATGTGGGAGTTAGACCTGCTCTATTTGAAAAGTGTCCTGAGATAACTTCTGTTATGAATTGGCACTATACAAATAAAATTGAATTGAATATATATATATATATATCTATATTATTTCTGTGGTTTTAGGCTCAATGAAAGAAACAACAAACATTCATAATAAATCAGCATTTATTTCAGATTTACAAGCATCTGTACACAAACACTGAATGAAGGTTTGATTTATTGAATATTAATATTCATTTAGTTTGTGAAAGTTAACAAATAAACTACTTAAAGAAGAATAAGCTGATGTATTTCCTGATTGGCTGATTAATAATAATAAGATGTTCTGCTGCCCTCTGCTGGAGGAAAATAATAATTCATCATTTCTGCCCAAATTAAACTTTATTGTAGTTTCTAAACGTATAAATAAATGTATAGATACAGTTTCATAAAACATTTCACTGACAAACAAACTGAGAGAAAGTTATTGATCACAGATTAATTGATTAACTGATAATATAGAAAATAAGTGCTAGAAGCAGCTGAGCAGAGCGTTCGCTAGCAGGAAATAAAAACGAGGCGGTTGAACTTTGAACTATGATGTCACTGGAACGCCAGCGATAAGGAGACGAGTGTCAGTGATCCGCTCTGTGATCAGTGATTATTGATCACTGTGTGTGCGTGCACTTCCTGTCTCTACGCCATCTTCACCATCACGTTTTTGTACGGCGAATACTGCTGCTCCTCCCCCTCCTCTGACTCCTCCTCTGACTCCTCCTCCTCATCCTCTTCTTCTTCGTTGGTGCTTTGTGTGGCAGGAAGTACCCTCTGGGGTCGTTTGGGCACGGCATAGTCGTCCACCCGGGGGTTGTACGGGTACTCGTGACCTTTGGGGTCAGCGGTTGTACCCATAATCCTCCAAGCGTCGCCCCTCATCTCCTCGGGGTCGTCGTACAACGAGGTGGGAGGTTTTGCGGCGCAGCCTTCGGGTTCGTCGTAGATGTGTTCTATCTTCCCGTATGTGGGCCCTGCGGCGGCGGTGGTGGCGGCGGCGACGCTGGCGGCCGCGTTGCTCAAGAAGATGTTTCTGATCTTCATCTCGTCGATGCTGTCGTAGAGCGGGTCGGCGCCGGACTCGGCTCTGTGCGGGTCCCGGATGTTGGACATGACGTTGACGGTGAGGGTGTCGAAGGGGAGCGAGTACTCCGGCTCCGGTTGGTCGCAGGAGGCGGCGCCACCTCTCTTCTCCCGCTTGGTGCTGCGGTCGGCAGTCGGCAGGGCGATCTGGGAGTATGTCTGGTCCGGTTTGGGGTTGGAGCTCAGTTTGGGGCTGAGGCGGGGGTTGGGGGTGGAGCTTGGACCCGGGTTGGGGCCGGACTCGGGGCCGGGGTGAGGCAGAGGGCAGCTGGAGATCATCTTCACCTGGTTCTTACGGGGGGCGGGGACGCCGCGAGTGTCCAGAGTCAGACTCTTCACGCCGGTCAGCGCTTTGTCCACCGGAGGCTCCAGACGAGACTAAGAACAGAACAGGAGACAACCAATCAGTTATTGATCAGTCTGGTTCACTCCTACAGTGACTGAAAGGACTCAAACTGTCCAACAGGTGGAGCTATTGATTAGTCTGCTGATATTAATAATCATAATCAGGTTTTGGGGTTATTGATGACACTGAAACGTTTGAACCAGAGGGCTGATCGGGATTCTGAGTTATTTTAATCTGATTAATAACCACAGACACAGATCAATAACAAGATGGAGCAGTCTGAACACTGAGATTATTATAAAATACGACCACTGGGAGCTTCAGGTTATAACATCCAACATTAAAATAAAAAACGCATTTAATTATTTTAAGTAACTGTGTATGTGTGTATCAGTGTGTGTGCAGTGTGTGTGCAGTGTGTGTAGCAGTGTGTGCAGTGTGTGTGCAGTGTGTGTATCAGTGTGTGTATCAGTGTGTGTAACAGTGTGTGTATCAGTATGTGTAACAGTGTGTGTATCAGTATGTGTATCAGTGTGTGTATCAGTGTGTGTATCAGTGTGTGTGCAGTGTGTGTATCAGTGTGTGTATCAGTGTGTGCAGTGTGTGTGCAGTGTGTGTATCAGTGTGTGCAGTGTGTGTGCAGTGTGTGTATCAGTGTGTGCAGTGTGTGTATCAGTGTGTGCAGTGTGTGTGCAGTGTGTGTGCAGTGTGTGTATCAGTGTGTGTGCAGTGTGTGTATCAGTGTGTGCATGTGTGTATCAGTATGTGTGCAGTGTGTGTATCAGTGTGTGTGCAGTGTGTGTAGCAGTGTGTGCAGTGTGTGTATCAGTGTGTGTAACAGTGTGTGTATCAGTATGTGTATCAGTGTGTGTATCAGTGTGTGTATCAGTGTGTGTGCAGTGTGTGTATCAGTGTGTGCAGTGTGTGTGCAGTGTGTGTATCAGTGTGTGCAGTGTGTGTGCAGTGTGTGTATCAGTGTGTGCAGTGTGTGTATCAGTGTGTGCAGTGTGTGTGCAGTGTGTGTGCAGTGTGTGTATCAGTGTGTGTGCAGTGTGTGTATCAGTGTGTGCAGTGTGTGTATCAGTATGTGTGCAGTGTGTGTATCAGTGTGTGTGCAGTGTGTGTATCAGTGTGTGCAGTGTGTGTATCAGTGTGTGTATCAGTGTGTGTATCAGTGTGTGTATCAGAGTGTATCAGAGTGTGCAGTGTGTGTATCAGTGTGTGTGCAGTGTGTGTATCAGTGTGTGTATCAGTGTGTGTATCAGTATGTGTGCAGTGTGTGTATCAGTATGTGTATCAGTGTGTGCAGTGTGTGTGCAGTGTGTGTATCAGTGTGTGTATCAGTGTGTGTATCAGTATGTGTGCAGTGTGTGTATCAGTGTGTGTAACAGTGTGTGTATCAGTATGTGTATCAGTGTGTGCAGTGTGTGTGCAGTGTGTGTATCAGTGTGTGTATCAGTGTGTGTATCAGTGTGTGCAGTGTGTGTATCAGTGTGTGCAGTGTGTGTGCAGTGTGTGTGCAGTGTGTTCTTCCTACCACTGGGGGGCGATGCTGCTGTTGCTGCTGATGAGAAGAAGTGGAGCTCTCTTTGTCTTTGTGATGAATTATCTGAAGGTTAGTTTCAGTCACCATGCTGTAGACCCCATCAGCAGCCTGCAGACAGACAGACAGCTGGATGTGAGACTGTTCGTGCCTCATGTGACCCGCTGTGAGTCCCATGCTTCAACAGTCTTGACTTTATTCTGAAAATACTGACTCTGTGCTAAAAATCTTATTTTGAAGGCGTGTAGCGAGGCCCTGTAATGTGAGCTGACCTGAGCAGCAGGGGTTTGTGGGATATGGCTGCGGGGCTGAGGTAGCGGTGGCATCCTGTTCTGGATCAGGGGCGGGTTGACGGGCAGGGGGGGCAGGTCCTGGGGGGTCTCTGGACTCACCTGCCCGCCCCCGGAGGTCTGCCTGTGGGGCAGCGAGATCCGCTGCAGGTTGATGGCGGCCTCCACCGCCTGAAACAGGAAGTTCCCCTGTTTGGTGTCGAACTCAAAACTCCCCTCGCCGGAGTCACAGCGGCGCCCGGCCTCGAAGGAGAACGTGGACTGAAGGAGAGACAGACAGTCAGACAGACAGAGAGACAGTCAGTCAGACAGTCAGACAGTCAGAGAGACAGTCAGATAGTCAGATAGTCAGACAGTCAGATAGTCAGACAGTCAGAGAGACAGTCAGATAGTCAGACAGTCAGAGAGACAGTCAGACAGTCAGAGAGACAGTCAGATAGTCAGAGAGACAGTCAGAGAGACAGTCAGATAGTCAGACAGTCAGACAGTCAGAGAGACAGTCAGATAGTCAGAGAGACAGTCAGACAGTCAGATAGTCAGACAGTCAGAGAGACAGTCAGATAGTCAGACAGTCAGATAGTCAGACAGTCAGAGAGACAGTCAGACAGTCAGAGAGACAGTCAGATAGTCAGACAGTCAGACAGTCAGAGAGACAGTCAGACAGTCAGAGAGACAGTCAGATAGTCAGACAGTCAGAGAGACAGTCAGATAGTCAGAGAGACAGTCAGATAGTCAGAGAGACAGTCAGACAGTCAGATAGTCAGACAGTCAGAGAGACAGTCAGATAGTCAGAGAGACAGTCAGATAGTCAGACAGTCAGAGAGACAGTCAGACAGTCAGAGAGACAGTCAGATAGTCAGAGAGACAGTCAGAGAGACAGTCAGATAGTCAGAGAGACAGTCAGACAGTCAGAGAGACAGTCAGACAGTCAGAGAGACAGTCAGAGAGACAGTCAGATAGTCAGACAGTCAGACAGTCAGAGAGACAGTCAGACAGTCAGATAGTCAGACAGTCAGGCTGTGGCTCAGAGGCAGAGTGGGTCGTTCCTTAATCGGAAGATTGTGGGTTCGATGGCTCCTGGTGCCACATGTTGAAGTATCCTTGAGCAAGATACTGAAGGTGCTATACGAGTACATTTACCATTACAGTCAGACAGACAGACAGACAGACAGTGTGTGTGTGTGTGTGTGTGTGTGTGTGTGTGTGTGTGTGTGTGTGTGTGTGTGTGTGTGTGTGTGTGTCACCTTGTCCCGTCCGAAGCGTCTCAGGTATCTGTACGGCCAGGTCAACACGATCTCTCCCGTCTTATCGATCAGGTGCAGAGCGTCTTCGTCTGCTCGCAGGACGCCGTCTCCCTTCAGCCTGCAGCGGTCGGCCGCCTCTGTCCTCCGAACACACACTCTGTAGTCCCGCACTGACACACACACACACACACACACACACACACACACACACACACACATTTATGGTAATCAATCGATCAGTCCCCAGAATACCGATAACTGATTGATTTATTCATTTTTAGGTTTCAGTATCTTTCACTTTTATCTGACAGTATATGATCAATCAGACATCAATCTCTAGCTGTAAATAAAACACTAACAATAATAATAATAGTAATAACATTAAGAAGAAGAAGAAGAAGAAGAAGAAGAAGAAGAAGAAGAAGAATATTTGAAATACAGATTTTTAAGGTTTCTGATGTCAGTGTGAGTCCAGGACTCTCAGTCCAACCCAGATCCAGTATCCGGCCTCCAGTGAGCTCCAGAGATTGAGGACGATGAGCTCAGCAGCTTTAAAGAAATATATTTACAGTATATTTCATATTGTACACATGTGGTTTTATTATTTTAGGCTCATATATATATATATATATATTTAGTGTTAGGGTTAGGGTTATATATATATATATATTATATATATTATATATTTAAATCCTTCTGATGGTTTCAGATCCTCCAGTGTGAGAATGTCGAAGACGCCATGTTGGACTCAAACTCCTAACAATGTTCATACGTCGTATTTATATCTGTGACATATTCTACTGCAGGGGAAAATATTTAAGCCACAATTATCTTTATCATTTTTTTAAATAATTCACAATATTATCACAATAATCTTAAAAGAAACAAAAAGTCACAAATTCTATAAGTTTTAAGTCAAAATCAAACTTTTAAAAGTTCTGCCAACTCCTTTTCTTGAGGTAATTTAATTTTCTGTATTTAATTACTCACTACAATTATAAACGTTAAACAATAAAATGTCTCTAAAACAATCATTTTACCTACATTTAGTTTAGAAACCTCGTTTTTATTCTGGAGGATAAACTATTTCCTTTTGCAGATCAAGTCACGTGAGAATATTAATTATACCGTGATGGAGTTCTTTATCAACGCGTTTATATATAAATATATTTATATATATATAATTATATTTATATTGTACAGAGATAGAGCTTCAGACAGTAGAGGTATGTTGTTGCTATATTATCAATATGACTATGGATCTATTTCTGCTGAGAACCACGCGGCTCACAGATAAAACAGACGAGACCTCGACTCTCTAATGTGGGCGCTGAAATAAAGAGCGAGACGTAACGCGCTGCAGACGCAGGCAGTGTTAAAGCCAGCAGGACGTAACATCAGTGACATCAGTAACATCTGTAACATCAGTGACATCAGTGACATCACATCAGTGACATCTGTAACATCTGTAACATCAGTAACATCAGTGACATCACATCAGTGACATCAGTAACATCTGTAACGTCAGTAACATCAGTGACATCACATCAGTGACATCAGTGACATCAGTAACATCTGTAACGTCAGTAACATCAGTGACATCACATCAGTGACATCAGTGACATCAGTAACATCTGTAACGTCAGTGACATCAGTGACATCAGTGACATCAGTAGCATCAGTGACATCACATCAGTGACATCTGTAACATCAGTGACATCAATGACATCTGTAACATCTGTAACATCAGTGACATCAGTGACATCTGTAACATCTGTAACATCAGTGACATCAGTGACATCTGTAACATCAGTGACATCAGTAACATCAGTGACATCAGTAACATCAGTGACATCTGTAACATCAGTAACATCAGTGACATCACATCAGTGACATCAGTAACATCTGTAACATCAGTGACATCTGTGACATCAGTAACATCTGTAACATCAGTGACATCAGTGACATCAGTAACATCAGTGACATCAGTAACATCAGTGACATCAGTGACATCAGTGACATCAGTAACATCAGTGACATCAGTGACATCAGTGACATCAGTAACATCAGTGACATCGTAACATCAGTGACATCTGTAACATCAGTGACATCAATGACATCTGTAACATCTGTAACATCAGTGACATCAGTGACATCTGTAACATCTGTAACATCAGTGACATCAGTGACATCTGTAACATCAGTGACATCAGTAACATCAGTGACATCAGTAACATCAGTGACATCTGTAACATCAGTAACATCAGTGACATCACATCAGTGACATCAGTAACATCTGTAACATCAGTGACATCTGTGACATCAGTAACATCTGTAACATCAGTGACATCAGTGACATCAGTAACATCAGTGACATCAGTAACATCAGTGACATCAGTAACATCAGTGACATCAGTGACATCAGTAACATCTGTGACATCTGTAACATCAGTGACATCTGTAACATCAGTGACATCAGTGACATCAGTGACATCTGTAACATCAGTGACATCAGTGACATCAGTAACATCAGTGACATCAGTGACATCTGTAACATCAGTGACATCAGTGACATCACATCAGTGACATCTGTAACATCTGTAACATCAGTAACATCAGTGACATCACATCAGTGACATCAGTGACATCAGTAACATCTGTAACGTCAGTAACATCAGTGACATCACATCAGTGACATCAGTGACATCAGTAACATCTGTAACGTCAGTGACATCAGTGACATCAGTGACATCAGTAACATCAGTGACATCACATCAGTGACATCTGTAACATCAGTGACATCAGTGACATCTGTAACATCTGTAACATCTGTAACATCAGTGACATCAGTAACATCAGTGACATCTGTAACATCAGTAACATCAGTGACATCAGTAACATCAGTGACATCAGTAACATCAGTGACATCAGTAACATCAGTGACATCACATCAGTGACATCAGTAACATCTGTAACATCAGTGACATCTGTGACATCAGTAACATCTGTAACATCAGTGACATCAGTGACATCAGTAACATCAGTGACATCAGTGACATCAGTAACATCTGTGACATCTGTAACATCAGTGACATCAGTGACATCTGTAACATCAGTGACATCAGTGACATCAGTGACATCTGTAACATCAGTGACATCAGTGACATCAGTGACATCTGTAACATCAGTGACATCAGTAACATCAGTGACATCAGTAACATCAGTGACATCAGTGACATCAGTGACATCAGTGACATCAGTGACATCAGTAACATCAGTGACATCAGTGACATCTGTAACATCAGCTTCCTGAACGTGGTTACATGTGGAGCTGCTGTTGATGTCCAGTGTGATCGGACTCTGTGTTTATCTGCTGCGTCTCCTGTAGTTTAATGAGGACATCACAGGACAGACAGACAGACAGTGGGTGGTTCATGGTAGAGGGAGACTCCCAATGACCCCTTCTTTAGCCCTGCCCACCTCCAGTTTAAGCCCCGCCCACTGTGCAGATACAGTTAATAGTGCACGCGCTCCTCCACATTAGGATCCTGTTGTATCTTTACAAACTTTACTTTCTATTTATTTCTATTTATATCTTTTATAAAAGAGGAACTCCTTCAGAGCTGCTTTGCCCTGAGTTGTGTCTGCAGGCTGCATCCTGTGAGCTGGAAAAACACCTTCTCAGTTCAGTTTTAGCTCTCGATGCAACTTCTCACCCTCAGGCCGTTAGACACGCCTCACAGGCGGGTTTCACACACACACACACACACACACACACACACACACACAGGTTCTGTAAGAGTTATTAAACGCATTCTACACAACAGCAGCTCGATGCTCATTTTCCCTTCCGCCATGACACATCCTGAGCACCGTCTTGTTCTACTGAGCTCCACAGAGGAAACCACACACACACACACACACACACACACACACACACACACACACACACACACACACACAAACACACACCCTGTCAGACAGGTGTGTGTGTGTGTGTGTGTGTGTGTGTGTGTGTGAGCTGCAGGTGTTTGTGGGGAAACAGTAGCAGCTTCAGGGTTCACATTATGACCTCAGTCACACAGTAAATGTTGCTGCTATTTATATCTGTGTGTTCCTGTTCTCTTCTTTAAGTGGATTTCTGCTCTTTCAGCTGTTGTTCTACATTTATTTATTCATATAAAGCAGTTCGAAAGGAACAAATAAAGTCAAACAATCATTTATTCCTTTGTTCTGTCTGAAATAACTGCTAATGGAAACAGCAGCAGTCTGATATCTGCATCAGTGTTACCTGTAAGGCACATTACACTTTATCACTCAATATGTGTGTGTGTGGTTTCCAGCTCAGTTAATATCTGTGCATAAACTCTAGAGCTGTGTCCTATATGGAGCTGATTCAATCAATAATCAATAACCAAAAGCTATCATACACTGACTGTTTACCATCCACTGTTTAGATCTTGGTGCTTTTTAACTCTAGATTTGAACCGGATGAAGGATTTTAGTCATCGGACGTCTGGATCTTAAGTTATCAGAGAAACAAGCTGAGCTAACGTTAGCAGCAGCTCGGCTCGCAGCCCCTCCGGGACGTCTTTTGTCTGTCCAACAGCGTGGGAGAAGCAGTGATTGTTAAGGTGGAACTGCTTTATTCAGTGTGTTTAAGGTGGAACTGCTTTATTCAGTGTGTTTAGTGGTTTTAATCAGCGGGTCTGTTTGTGTTGGAGAGGAGGAGACCTCTGTGGATCATTGGGCTCCCGGTAGAAACCTCCTGAACCATGAACACTGAAGGAATCCTAACCGGGATGGTTTAGTAGATCTGCTGAAGATGTATCAGCTGTTTAATATAAAGACACAGAGGAATCCTTAAAGTGAGAGAAATGTGAATGGGGTTTGGTGTGAGACATTTGACAGTCAGTGTGGTCAGTTGCAGTCAGTAGTTTGATATATTGGGTTATTCTGTGGAACCAGCTGAACCTGTATATTGATCTATGTTAGAGTTCTGGTTGACCTCACTACCTCAGCGTTACCACGACCTAATTATACGGACACAATCAGAGCAGCTCAGGTAGAGAGCCGCTGAAGATTAATGGAAACAAACTCAGCTCATGCTCAACTCAAAATGTTCAGTTCAGCTTCCTGTTGAGAAACAGGAAGTTTGTCCTGTCAAGATAAAAGCTGAGGTCGTCCTGCAGCAGCCGGACACTGCAGCGCTGCAACACCCTGCGACGCTGCACCACAAACACACACACACACACACACCGCAGCAGGAACTGACACACACACTTGAGTTTCCACTACACAACAATACACACTGCCACTGAGTGTGTGTGTGTGAGTGACGTCAGTGAAGAGAACCACAGTGGAAACAGCCTTCGTTTGTAGTAAACGTTATCGGCTCCATCAGCGGCTCCACAGACTCAAACTGCTTCAGGTTGGACGCAGTAACAGTTCCATATCTGCACATTCATGTTTCATCACAAACACACCAAACCTCATAAAAGCTTCAAAGCATCAAACAGGTTTCCTCCGTCTGACCTCATCCATCAGCCGCTACCTCCACTGCCTCCCTTTCATCCCAGCTTCACTTCAGCTTCCACAGACCACTGTTTCACTTTTATTTCACTTTTATTTCACTTTTATTTCACTTTTAGTTTCAGTGTATTTGTTATTAAATGTTTTGTATTATAAGATTTTATTATATTTGATCATGTTTTCTATGATAGTAAAATATTTGTATTATAAGATTTTATTTAAATACAAACACACTGACTCACAGTCTCATAAACATAAGAATGAGCCAATGTCTCCTCGTGCTCGTTGTATTGATACATTTGACCGAATTAACTCAAATTAAAGACATTTCCTGTACTTCTGATGTTATATAAAGTTTTATTTTGTATCTCAGTGAACTGAAATGCTTTTTCACTCCTACTTTACTGTAATAAAGTTGGTTTCCACTCACACATATCTGATTTATTGTTGGTGAAGCAACAACCACTGTGCAGCAGCTGCAGGAGCTCACTGTCACATCGGTGTCCACACACTTTTGGCCATGTAGTGTAGCGTTGCGTGTGTGCTGCAGCAGACCGATGCATCACTTTGGCCACAGGCTGCTAAATTTAGCCGCGATGGGAAAAGAGCGATAGAGGAAGTGAGGTTTGGTTGGAGGTGCAACAGGAAGTCATGACTGAAGGTCGAGCTGCAGAAACGGCGCCACCGCAAGGAAACGCTCCGAAACAGCCAAAACCTCCTGACTCAAGACTGTGATCTTCTTATCAGCCCTCAGGATCAAATGTCAGTTCAAGACAGACAGGTATAACACAGACAGGTAGACAGACGGGTGTACCTGTCTCTCTGCCGCTGTACAGTGAGTTGTCCTCCATTCCTTCGTCTTCATCCACTCTGCTTCCTCTCTGCAGGCTGCCTCTCTTCACACTCGGCTCCACCCAGTTCATCTGCACACAAACACATTATTACACAATGTCCATCACCTTCATCACCTTCATCACCTTCATCACCTTCATCACCTCATTGATCAGCAGAGAGTGAACAGGTTGTAGTGTAGCTTTGTTCCTCTGCTGTCTGTGGACTGATCTCTATGTGTCTCTATGTAGGATGAGGGTCAAAGGTTGTGACCTTTATGCTCCCGTCCACAACACAGAGTCCAACACAGAGTCCAACACAGAGTCCAACACAGAGTCCACAACACAGAGTCCAACACAGAGTCCAACACAGAGTCCACAACACAGAGTCCAACACAGAGTCCACAACACAGAGTCCAACACAGAGTCCAACACAGAGTCCACAACACAGAGTCCAACACAGAGTCCAACACAGAGTCCAACACAGAGTCCACAACACAGAGTCCACAACACAGAGTCCAACACAGAGTCCAACACAGAGTCCACAACACAGAGTCCAACACAGAGTCCACAACACAGAGTCCAACACAGAGTCCAACACAGAGTCCAACACAGAGTCCACAACACAGAGTCCAACACAGAGTCCACAACACAGAGTCCAACACAGAGTCCAACACAGAGTCCAACACAGAGTCCACAACACAGAGTCCACAACACAGAGTCCACAACACAGAGTCCAACACAGAGTCCAACACAGAGTCCAAAGTCATGGATGATGATGGACGCTACAGTCCCTCACTGTGAGGAATACTGAACGTTAAAGTATCTCAACCTGTTTTCAAAACAAGTGATGAAGTTCTGTGAAAAAATAAAGTTTAATTAAAAACTTAAACACATCAGGTGAGTATCTAAATATAAATACAAGATATTTATTCCTAAACTCCCAAACTTCCACCTTAAATTCCACCTTAAACTGCTTTAAGTATCTGATGGATTTGGTGTCTTTGGGAATATTAAATGAAGAAGTTTGAGTTTTTGGAGTTGAAGGTTTACATGATTCTCTGCCTTCAAAATAAAAGTCTGTCTGTAATTGTGTGAATCTGTGTTTGTGGATCAGACTTTATATCTGGTGTGTCAGACAGAAGCTGCTGTCTGATTGGCTCTTTGTATGTAAAGTGTGTATTTCCTGTCACACACAGACAAAGAGGAAGTGGAGCTGTGACTCAGGACCGTCAGCTGTCTGTGATAATGCTGCTATTAATAACCCCACAAACATTAAACACAAGGACAGAAACAGAATCTGAACTTTTACATTTTATTTGTTTGATCACATTTTAAATGTGCTTTTATTTTGTAAAGATCAGGTGTGAACCCTTCCAATATGATCAATAAGGACACCAGCAGCAGGATCAATGCCGTTTCCACAACAACCAACTTTATTCAACCAACCAGACGACGTCTGTCGGTGTCACCGTCTGGTCAACAGAGTGGTGCATTGTGGGACGTGACATCATAGGTAAACATGGTTCTCTGAAAGGTTTCATTTTTGTTTTTATGAGCAGCTGATTGGACGCCAGTTCTCAAGCACCAAAATAAAAGTCAACATGAAGTCCGACATTAAAGGTCAGATAACCTGTATAACCGCCTCCAGACAGACTGACAACCAGAGACAGACGCTCTCCAACGGGCCCCAAACACTGGAGCCACAAACCCCCACCAGTCCGCACAGAACCGCAGTTAGCATGTGCGGCTAACATCAGCGGTCTCAACCCCGTCGTCAAACAGATGCTACATTATGCTAATAGCTAATAGCTAATGTTCTTACAGGAAACATGAGGAAGCTAACAGCTCTCTGCTTCCTGTTTCCTCGGACTCCTGTCTCACATCTGAGCAGCGAGGAATAAAACCGGAGACTGAACTGTTATAAGTCTTCCTCCCACTGAACACCACAGCGTCATGTGATCGACACTGAGGTCAACCTGTTATTGTGTCCTGTTACTACTCAAACTCACTTAGCCCATTCACAACAGACGTTCTCTCGGGACCCGTCCAGACAGAGCAGGTCTCGACCGTCCTCCTTAAAGACTCAACAGTTCCCACTAACAGTCACACTGACAACCCACACATGACCTCTCCGTGTGACCTCAGCTGACCTTTCTCCACACTTTCAGTATCACAGCAGCTCTGACTGCCCATCAAAACCTTCAGTAGACCTCAGTTCCTTCTGGATCAGCCGGACACTGAGAGAGCTCACTGAGAGAAACACTTGAACACAGAACTTCCTTTTGCCAACACACAGAAACATTTGAAATCCAAAAACAGCAAGTGAACTTATTTTAGTTTATATGGAGTCATCTGAACATCTGACTTCTCTTTTTGTGGTTTCATTCTTGAGTATGTGCTATATTTCCTCTAAAGTACACCGCTGTCTATATTTTCTGTCCTGGCAATTATTCATTTTCACTCGAGCTGCTACCTCTACACAGTCTATAAAGTATAAACTGTATACTGTATATACTACATATATAAAAGACCCACTGAATGGGTGGTTACGGCCTAGTTTTAAGTATCCTGATAAATCCATAATAAGTAAATAAATTTATAAATCCTGCTTCAGTCCAATGAAGAGAATCGACTACGTAAACAGGAAGTCATACAGTTCCTTATATTTAATAAATCATTTAGAAATAATGTGTGCGGTCTGCTCTTCCTCACACGGAAGTGCTCTACCTAACAGACGCATTGTGTGTGTGTGTGTGTGTGTTTGCGTGTGTGTGTGTGTGTGTGTGTGTGTGTGTGTGTGTGTGTGTACCTACAGGGAAGGCGAGCTCACACAGTTTGTGTGTCCAGTCGTCCAGATGTTGTCTGTCTGCAGCGAATACGTAGATCTTCTCCGTGGTCTCGACCAGGAAGGGTCCCGTGTCTCTGGGACAGCTGTCGATCTCCACCTCCGTCACCCGGATACAGTCCGCCAGACGGACCACCTGGGAGACAGTGAGCGTTATCGCTACGGCAACAGAGCAGGACTGAACAGAAGGAATTTAATTCAATTCAATTTTATTTGTATAGCGCCAATTCATAACAGAAGTTATCTCATGACACTTTTCAAATAGAGCAGGTCTAGACCGAACTCTTTATAACATTATTTACAGAGACCCAACAGTACCACCATGAGCAAGACCTTGGAGACAAGGGCAAGGAAACACTGCCTGTTAGAGTACGACAGAGTATAATAAAGTCAAACAGGTTTACAGTGCGTACAGTAATAGTAGGACAGAGTCGGAGTATATTCTACCTTCTTGTGTTCTTGCTGTTTGCGTAGACTCTTGTCGCTCTTCTCCACACTCCCTCCATCTTTACACTCAAAGAACTCCAGTCTGGAAATCGAACAGGAACTTTCTCTGTACAGGACGCACCACACACGCTTCCACTTCTACACACAGACACAGACACACAATCAGTTAACAAAGATTCAGCCACTGTTTCCATTCATCTATCTTTATTCTTTCACTCCATTACATCAGTGTGACGGTTACTGTTGATGGTGAATGTTTGTGATAAACTGCAGGATGAAGAGTTCCTTTAAATGCATCGTCACAGAGCTGAAAACAGGCAGTGACTTTATAGTGACTTTATAGAGCTATACGCTGAATACTTCCTCCACCTCTGGCTGTATGTAATCCTCTCACTGCTGTCATTTTGATTACGTGGAGAATGTGTGAGGGAAACACTGCTCTGCAAACAGCTGGACAGCTTCAGCATCGACGCGCCCGTACTGTTAGTGTTACTGTTCCTCTAACTGCTGCTCTTCCTCTTCTTCATGTCTACTGTTACTGTTAATGTTTCTGTGGTTGACACTGTTAGCATTACTGCAGCATTACTGTTAGCATTATTGTTAGCATTACTGTTCACATCATTGCAACTGTTTGCAATATTCTTCTTCTCCCCAGGATGGTGAAGTCACGACCCACCCTACTCTGCACTACCATACTTAGCCTGACATCATTATCCTCTCCCTAACCAGTCTTACTCTTATGCCTAAATCTAACCAGCCAACCCAATAAAGGCAACAATAATTAGCCAATCAGAGGCAGAGTAGGGTGGGTTACAGGAACAGTAACAGTGAGAACTGACAGGTTACTCTCTGTGTTACTGTTACTGTTCCTGTCAGTGTCAGTGTCAGTGTTATTGTTACGGTTACTGTTCCCGTCAGTGTTACTGTTACTGTTACTGTTCCTGTCAGTGTTACTGTTACTGTTCCCGTCAGTGTTACTGTTACTGTTCCCGTCAGTGTTACTGTTACTGTTACTGTTACAGTGAGTCTTACTGTTACTGTTCCTGTCGGTGTTACTGTTACGGTTACTGTTCCCGTCAGTGTTACTGTTACTGTTCCTGTCAGTGTTACTGTTACTGTTCCCGTCAGTGTTACTGTTACTGTTCCCGTCAGTGTTACTGTTACTGTTACTGTTACAGTGAGTCTTACTGTTACTGTTCCTGTCGGTGTTACTGTTTCTGTTACTGTTCCCGTCAGTGTTACTGTTACTGTTCCTGTCAGTGTTACTGTTACTGTTCCCGTCAGTGTTACTGTTACTGTTCCTGTCAGTGTTACTGTTACTGTTCCTGTCAGTGTTACTGTTACTGTTCCTGTCAGTGTTACTGTTACTGTTACTGTTACAGTGAGTCTTACTGTTACTGTTCCTGTCAGTGTTACTGTTTCTGTTACTGTTCCCGTCAGTGTTACTGTTACTGTTCCTGTCAGTGTTACTGTTACTGTTCCCATCAGTGTTACTGTTACTGTTACTGTTCCCGTCAGTGTTACTGTTACTGTTACTGTTCCCGTCAGTGTTACTGTTACTGTTCCTGTCAGTGTTACTGTTCCCGTCAGTGTTACTGTTACTGTTCCTGTCGATGTTACTGTTACTGTTCCTGTCAGTGTTACTGTTACTGTTCCTGTCAGTGTTACTGTTACTGTTACTGTTCCCGTCAGTGTTACTGTTACTGTTCCTGTCAGTGTTACTGTTACTGTTCCCGTCAGTGTTACTGTTACTGTTCCTGTCGATGTTACTGTTACTGTTCCTGTCAGTGTTACTGTTACTGTTCCTGTCAGTGTTACTGTTACTGTTACTGTTACAGTGAGTCTTACTGTTACTGTTCCTGTCCGTGTTACTGTTTCTGTTACTGTTCCCGTCAGTGTTACTGTTACTGTTCCTGTCAGTGTTACTGTTACAGTTACTGTTCCCGTCAGTGTTACTGTTACTGTTCCTGTCGATGTTACTGTTACTGTTCCTGTCAGTGTTACTGTTACTGTTCCTGTCAGTGTTACTGTTACTGTTACTGTTACAGTGAGTCTTACTGTTACTGTTCCTGTCGGTGTTACTGTTTCTGTTACTGTTCCCGTCAGTGTTACTGTTACTGTTCCTGTCAGTGTTACTGTTACTGTTCCCATCAGTGTTACTGTTACTGTTACTGTTCCCGTCAGTGTTACTGTTACTGTTACTGTTCCCGTCAGTGTTACTGTTACTGTTCCTGTCAGTGTTACTGTTCCCGTCAGTGTTACTGTTACTGTTCCTGTCGATGTTACTGTTACTGTTCCTGTCAGTGTTACTGTTACTGTTCCTGTCAGTGTTACTGTTACTGTTACTGTTCCCGTCAGTGTTACTGTTACTGTTCCTGTCAGTGTTACTGTTACTGTTCCCGTCAGTGTTACTGTTACTGTTCCTGTCGATGTTACTGTTACTGTTCTTGTCAGTGTTACTGTTACTGTTCCCGTCAGTGTTACTGTTACTGTTACGGTGAGTCTTACTGTTACTGTTCCTGTCAGTGTTAGTGTTACCATTACTATTACCATTACTATTACCATTACTGTTACTGTTCCTGTCAGCGTTACTGTTACTGTTACTGTTCCTGTCACTGCCATTGTTGGGCTGAATCCATAAGTCCACCCTCTGGACTTGCGGATTGAGCCATCGCAGGCTTTAGTAGTACATACTGTTGGGTTAGATATTAAGCTACATTTTATTTACCGTCATCATGTCAGATCGGAGCAGCTGATCTCGGGTTCAGAGGATTAGTGTTGTTGTCTCATTAGTATGCAGAGATGTAATGTAATGTATCAATATGAAACAAAATGAAATCATTTTCAATGTCAGTGTTTAATTTCCCTGTTCAGGTTTTGTTTTTGATGCCAAACGTTATGCCACTGTTCTAACTACCTGCTGCTGTTCAGTCGCTCATGTAGTGACGTTACACAGACAATGCTGTGTTAGCATTAGCATTAGCTCTGTTGTTAGCGCTGTGTGTCAGTGTTTGTACCTTTCCAAACCTCTGCTGCTGCAGGTAGAGCATCCCCTGTTTCCTGATGTCCTCCTCCATGATGACACTGCAGGTGCTCCTCCTTTCCTCCCCCTTTCCTCACCCTTTCTTTCTCTTCTCCTCTTTCTGCTCCACTTTCTCTATGTCTTCCTCCTCCTCCTCCTCCTCCGGTGTGTCCTCCTTTCCTCCCTTCTCTTGCCTCCTCTCTTCCCTCACCTCCTCCCCTCACCCTCCTCTCTGACTTTCTGCTTCCTCTTCTGTTTAAAGTCTCTCGTCTCCTCTTCTTGTTGTCCACTTTCTTCTTTTTTACTACTTATCTACTTTCCTCCTCTTCCTCACAGCTCGCACTGGCTTTGCTCCTCTTCACCTCTTTTCTTTTTCCTCTACGTTGTCTTTAGGTTTTCTCGTTTAGTAATCTTCTCCTGTTTGTCCTCCTCTGTTCTTGTTTCACCTCCTTTCGTTCTGTCTTATTTCTCTTCTTTTACTTTAGTTCCCTCGTTGGACTCTTTGCAGTTTGGAGAGTTTCACCCTTTCCCGTCCTCCCGCTGTGGCTCGCCTCCTCTCTTCTGTCCTCCCTCTCGCTCCCTCTCTCTCTGTCTGTGGTGTCTGTGTGATGCAGAGAAACGTTGAATGTGTCATTTCTGTTTCCTGCCTCACACTCTGTTGCAACATGTAATGCAGAACTAACCGGCCGTGTGAACGTCAACCTCCTCCTCCCAGTACGGCCACTCCTGTCATGTCACACTGCCACACTTTTATTTAAATGAATCTTCCTTTCTGCTCTGTTGTTACTTTATCTTCTGTTTTTATTGTTCAACCGTGTTTCCTCTCACCACCTGTTCCTTTATCTAACTGATAGAAGTTTCATAAAAACATCACTTGGTGTCACGTCGCCCTCTGGTGGCCATGTTGGAGGTTCTGCTGAGTGTGTTCAGTAACATTCGGTCTGTTTCTGACTGAAAACCAGAAGTATTCACACACATACATCAACCACACAGTACAAATACACCATCACAATACAAGCAATGATGGAAGAAGTTTTTAGACCCACACTATCAAAATATTTCATACTTGATATGCCCTGAATTCAAAATTCTGCTTAATCCCAAATAAAAGTACAGCAATAAGTATTATCATTATTAAAGCTCCAGTGTGTAACATCACTGTAATATGATATCCATACATATGTTTTCATTAGTTTTCATCCTCACAGTAACTGCGAGTCCATCAGTTCACACCATCAGTGAGGCAGAATACACTGTGAGGACCCCGATAGTTCAGAACACTCAAAACTTTCATTTTTAACTAATATGTGCCGCCACCATGACACTGAACATGAACGTTGTTTTAGTTGAAGATTTGGAGCGGAAAAATTAAAAAATAGACCGTAAACAGACCGGCAAACAGGCCGTAAACAGACCGTAAATAGACTGTAAACAGAGAGTGAACGACTGTAAACAGACAGTAAACAGACAGTGAAACAGGCGGAACAGACTGTAAACACATCAGAACAGACAGTAAACAGAAACTGAAGTAAACAGACCGTAAACAGACTGTAAACAGACCGCAAACAGACAGTAAACAGACAGTAAACAGACTGTAAACAGAGAGTGAACAGACAGTAAACAGACTGTAAACAGACTGTAAAAAGACCGTAAACAGACAGTAAATAGACTGTAAACAGAGAGTGAACAGACAGTAAACAGACAGTAAACAGACAGTGAACAGACAGTAAACAGACTGTAAACAGACAGTGAACAGACAGTAAACAGACAGTAAACAGACTGTAAACAGAGAGTGAACAGACCGTAAACAGACAGTAAACAGACCGTAAACAGACAGTGAACAGACAGTAAACAGACAGTAAACAGCCTGTAAACAGACAGAAAACAGACAGTAAACAGACTGTAAACAGAGAGTGAACAGACAGTAAACAGACCGTAAACAGACTGTACACAGACAGTAAACAGACAGTGAACAGACAGTAAACAGACCGTAAACAGACAGTAAACAGACTGTAAACAGAGAGTGAACAGACAGTAAACAGACAGTAAACAGACCGTAAACAGACAGTGAACAGACAGTGAACAGACTGTAAACAGACAGTGAACAGACAGTAAACAGACTGTAAACAGATAGTGAACAGAACGTAAACAGACAGTAAACAGACCGTAAACAGGCGGTGAACAGACAGTAAACAGACAGTAAACAGACTGTAAACAGACTGTAAACACATAGTGAACAGACAGTAAACAGAGAGTAAACAGACCGTAAACAGACAGTAAACAGACCGTAAACTAAAGGAATATAATGGAGTAATGGAATGGAGGAACGGACCGTACCGACTTTATGATGTGGTCTCTCTTGTTTACAGCGCCAGTGAGTCTGAATGAATGAACGTTAAACTTTAATGTTCATAGTTTCAGTAAAATGAAGGATTGAACTGTGGGGAAGTTCGACCTTTTGCAGATATTATATTTTTTAATTGAAATTAATTAGTTTTAAAAATGTTCTACAAATTAATTTCTGTTTCTCAGAAGAAGAACAAAAGTTTGCTGCACCAGAATTTAAAAAATATATAATTTGAGATTAAATAAAATATTTGAAAATAATAATTTGAGAAAATACTTTGGATAATAATTGTAATATTAATTTGGGTTAAAAACAGGTTGTAACATTTTTACATTGTCACTTTCATTCAGTTAAGTACTAAAAATACTCAATAAACCCATTAAAAATAAAAACCTTTAAAAGTAAAAATCAATTTCAGATATTAAATGTACTGAAGTAGATTTCATTACAAAAACTCCAAAATATATATAATATAATATGTATGACTTTAAAAATGGTTTACTTTTAATGATAGATCATACTTACTGACAATCGATCAGATATTTCCTTAAAGTGTTGAGACTTGCGAGGACTAGTTGCGGTCATGATCATGACTTTGAACCATACCGCCTGAAAATGGAGAAGTTTCTTGTGGTGAAGCATAAACGACCACAGCGAGACAGACAACAACGGTGGACACACAGACGGTGAACAGCAGCTCAGAAATAAAGACACAGTGCTGAGTTCAGCTTCCTTTATTACACAGGTCAGATTAATGCTAATATGCTCATTAATTCCTTACTGATGTTTTATTTCTTTATGTCTCACCATCCGTTCTCTTAATACTGTTAATAATGCAGCTTACATGTTTGAATATATTATTATTATATAAAATTACTACTGAGGGGAAGAAACGTTCAGAATAAAAAGCAGCAGCAATGTGAACGGAGCTTCTCAACAGGTTCAATTAGACTGTCTTTTGCTGTTTAAACAGACAGCTCCTCTCTTCATCCCTCCATCTTATTCCTCCTCTTCTTCCCTCTTGATTGTTGGCAGGCTGCTGTAGGTTTTGGTCCAGTAAGTTACGTAGTCTGATCTCAGGTCGTAGCTGAAACAAACAGACGAATTACAGTCAAAAAGAACAAAACCTCGTCGAACAGCAACACATCATCTGTCTTTATCTCATCTGCCATGTTTTCATTACAATAAAATACAGCAGAATCAAAGAGAAGATGGATTTTAGTCAGCTGGTACAAAGAATAAAGTGATAATAATAATTTACAGCAGCATCGAGAAGAAGAACATAGCAGAGTACAGTCGTAGTGTAGTACCTGACGGAGGACTTGGTGATCTTGTGGTTAATAGTCAGGTAGGGATGGTGGTATTTGGTGAAGGCGGGCCAGGGAACTGGGACTCTGCTGTCGCCTTTACTGGGATCACTGGGCAGGAGGAGAGTGAGAGTTTACACCAGTTTAAGAGAGGCCAGACAAACACTGTTTCAGATCTGTTTCCCCCTGTCCATCAGTTCATTCATCAGTTTAAACCAGTTCAGACTTACAGAAACAAACAGTAGTCTAGTTTGAATCAGAGGACTGGTAAAAACCAGTAAAGACCAGTATTCACTGCTCTGTTGTGTCAGAGACAGACCAGGTCGTACTGAGGTCTATTACCTTTGTGTTGACCTGTGTGTTTGGAGTGCATGCTGGAAGTTTACCCGGTCTTGGCGAAGTTGGTCCAGTATGCGATCATGTACCCGGACAGGTCTCTGTGTCGGGGGAAGTAGACCAGCGGGGTAGCAAAGGGTTTACCGAACACGTACTGCAGGTCCTCAGCGTGCTCCGCCTCCACCCAGTGAGGGAATCCTGGGATACGAGTCTTCATGTTGAACAGGTAGGAGTAGGTATGGGCTCCACTGAGGGACAAACAACAGAAACAACATGATTCTCATTATAAAGTCAATATCAACCTGTGTGACATCGGTCCACATCACTGGAAAACACAGGGAAATAAATTCTACATTGTCTAATCCCACGTTCCTTCGTCAAGGTCACAATTAATCCTTCCTAAGCCCCACCCCTTTTTGCTCTGTGCTCCAATCCCAGTTGAGCAAGCCTCAGTCAGAACCTCCTCTTCCTCCTTTGCTGTACTTAGATATGCTATGTGCTAGGCTAATCAATGAAAAGACAACCACATTTTGAAGATGGCTAAAACAGAAAAGAGACATATATATATATACATTGTCACGTCTTAAGTTAGCTACACTAGATAACTAGCTAACTAGTCTACATCAATGGTTACTAGTTAGATGGGTAAATTAAATTAATCTATATTCATCTTCATTGAGCTAGTTACATCTGATAACTAATGTTATATTCGTGGACTGTTTTGCTCTAAAGGTGATAAAACTGTAAAACCTGCTCTGCAGTAAAGAGGAAGACAAAATGTAAAACTTTCACCAGCTACAACAGAGACTTTAAAGCGGGACCAATCAGAGCTGACCTAGAGTTGTTGGCGTGGAGCTGGAGGGCAATCTGAGTGGGAACCAGGAACAGGAAGTCAGTCTCAATGTCGGCCACCGTCTTCTTTACCACCGCCTGCTCAGGAGCCGAACCCCAGTGAGATGTGTAGGTGCTGTAGGCCGAGTCGATGGCGGCGTTCCCCTTTTCCTTCGTCAGACCAGCCAGCAGACCCCTCACCTGCGCCCTGAGGCACACACGGGAACAGAAACCAGGTCACGCAACCAGAACATCTCTACAGGTGACCCTGATCAGATCATCTCCAAATATCACTTTGCTCTTTTCACGCTGCAACTTCAGCATTCAATTCAATTTGTATAACCCTGGTGGAGATCAAGCTTTAGAGGTTCAGGTAAGTAGATTTTGTTACCTTTGAACGGAGCCAGGCTAGCCTAGTTTCCTCCTGTTCCCAGTCTTTATGCTAAGCTAAGCTAAGCTCTTGGCTGTAGCTTCATATTTAGCATACAGACATGAGTGGAATCAATTAAACTCTCAGAGAGAAAGAGAAGAGGATTTCACTGAATGCCTAACTGTTTCCATTAACACTTAACCATACTCGTACTCCAAAATCACTGAGGGCTGGATATTAAAGAGATAAAAAAATATATCAGCTGACAAAGTAATTAAAACAGTTCAAATAGGGGTGCTATACGGTTAGCTCAGTGGTTAGAGCTGGCATCCCATGTACCAAGGCTGAGTCCTTGCTGCAGCAGCCAAGGGTTTGAATCCGACCTGTGGCCCTTTGCTGTGTGTCATCCTCTCTCTCTGCCCCCCTTTCCTGTTTCAGCTGTCACTATCAAGTAAAAGCAAGAAAAGCCCAAAAAATACTTAAACAAAAACAAAAAACTGTTAAATAAAACAAATGCAAAAAGCGGTTGAATAATTTTCCATCATGGATTTAAATTCACAGAGGTACAAGAGCATCGATCCTTCTTTGTAAAGAATTCCACATTGTCCAAGCATAAAAACTACAAGCAGATATTCCAATAAAAGCGTTACAGATAAACAAATACAGACCACCCAACATTTTCTATAAAGGATGCAGTGGTGAGTGCTCCAGACATCAGCAGTAATAACTTGAATATACAGAATGATAACCGGCATCCAAAGGCTGAGGCATATATAAACCACATCCATAATCCTTAATGGAGAGAAAACTGCTTCAACAATCCTTTTCCTACAAAATATAGGCAAGTTGGTTCTTTTTCTACATAAAAAACTAATTTTGGCTGTAGTTTCATGACAAGACTGTTAATACGGTGTTTGAATGTGAGTTTGTCATCTATCAAGATACAGATGTATCTATATTGGGAAACTTTCTCAATGTTGGATCCTTGCTCAGTGGAAATATAGACGTTTTTATTAATATCTCTTACTCTAGAGAGCAACAGAGTTTTTTGTGCATTCAGTACAAGTTTAAGATCAGTGAGTGCATTTTGAAGAACATTAAAAGAGTGTTGTAGGTTCTCCATAGATAGCTGGGCGGAATCTGCAATACAGCACAATATTGTATCATCTGCATATAAATGTACATGGCACGTAATTAAATAATAAATACATAAAGAATATTATTAATATAAACAGTAAAAAGAACTGAACCTTGTGGAACACCCTTCATTATGGTAAAACCTCACAACTACCAACAAGTTAATTGACTGTTGCCGACAGGTAGTCCAGAAACCATTCACAGGCACTAGAACTAAAACCAATTTTACTTTTAATGTGTTAAAACAAAGGAGAGGTCAACCATTGAGTTGCCTTGGAGAGGTCCACAAAGATGGCAGCATTATGTTTATAGTAGTAAACAATAGTCGTCCACACACGTCACAGATACAGTTTTTAAGCGGTGAAAGGTCTGACATCATCAGGATCAACATCCACGTGTTGTCTGCATAGTGATGAAACTTAAAATTGACACATGACTTCCATGTGTAGTAACATATAAAGACTGAAGAGCAGTGGGCCCAGAATTGAGCCATATGCGAATCACAGCCTAAAAATATACATTTTTGCATGATATTAAATTTGTGTTATTTATAAACTATGTTTTTACTAGAAATGTACATTTCCTATATATATCTACTTATGTACAAAGTCCATCCATGGTGTTCCTGTACTCACACAGTGGTTGCATTTTTTTGGTTGATATTAGGAACATCAACTCCAGCGAAGAAATGTCCATCCATGCTGTTCACTCCAGCCAGGTAATCAAACTGAGCCGCATTGTGAAACAACTTACTTGGCTCATCAGGGATAAAATCCCCATCGACCACTGGAGAGAATTCAAGGAGATCCATGACCACACCTGGGGACAGGAGCGAGACACTGAGATAGAAGTGTCCAACTTTTATGGACTGGAAACCTCAGCAAACAAAACAAATTGCTCTGGTTCTTTTATTTATCAAAATCTTTGCTGATGACCTGACGTTTCTGTTTCACCTCTAGTCAGCATTCGATATCAAGGCTATAGCCAGCTTTGTTTCCTAAAGATAACATGTGATATAACAAATCTGCGCACTATACGTGTATTATCTGTCTCCATCCTTTATGTCCTATAAGTTCGAGAAATGGAACATCTGAAATGATCCACAGCTCATTTTTATAAGGATATCCTCAAAAAGGACGACATTTGGAAGGAAAGTGGTTAGAGTTACAAGTAAGTAAACTGTCCTAAAACTTCAAAATCTTACATTAGTTATGAATAAATATTAAAACACTAATTTGCAAGAGAGAAATCACAAGTGTTGGCAGAAAAACTCCCCCCTGCACTGTGTTATCACTTGTAGTAAATCTGAACAAATTTTCACACTCAGTCCACCAGTGTTCGTTTAAACTAGGTCTGAGTGGGAGGAAGGGGTAAAATATACTCAGAGGGGATTCTTCTGTTGTTCAGACCTTTTCCCAGAATAAGCAGCACGTCGATTTTTCCAGCCATGGTGAGACCGACGGGGTCGCTCATCTTCAGACACGTTATCATCAAGTCTATGTTGGTTCTCCAGCAGCCGACTCTCCGAGCAACCTGCAGAAGCACAAATCAACAATCTGATATTAATGCAGAGCTGAACAATAATTATTTGATCCAAATGTATATCTTAATATTTATCGTCATCACAGTCAGGAAATAAAGCAGCAGGTTTATGGACCTTCTTGGTGAGAGCCATCGGGTTGTTCTGCAGGGCCCAGGGACTGAGGGCCACACCACACTGTGAGATTGCCCTGCGGAACAAGCCCTTACTGTAGGGAGACAGCATCTGAGGGGACAGACAGGCAGACAGGCAGACAGGCAGACAGACAGGCAAACAGACAGTCAAGCAGGCAGACAGACAGACACATAGACATCAACATGATGAGGTTCAGTGTGTCACTATCTGATTGTTCCTTCCTGCCAACATTAATTGAAGAAACCAAACAACTAAAATAAAGAGAAAAGTTAGAAATATAAGCCAAAATTATTACATAATAATTCTAAATGTTAAATGTTTGTTTTAGTAGTATGTCATGAGTTAGTAAGTGATACTAACTCATAATTAAGTTAGTTTTTGAAAGTCTTAAGTTTGTCAAAATTATAAAAGGTCATTTTTATTTTGTTTTTGACAATAATTTAAACATAATTAGTCTCATAAAAGAAAATCTAAATTATGACTCACTATACCTCATAATTTTACCACATGGAAACAGATTAAACAGATTTAATGTTGGAGGTAAAAACAATTTGACTTCTTCGTAATTAGTTTTGTAATTTTATAATTTTGATTTACATTTCTCACATTTAATCTACTTTATTCTTTTGCTGCCTCAGTATTTTTAATTTAAAGGTTGAACCTGATTGGGTAAGTGCTGTAAAGCAGAGTGGTCACCATTTGTTAAACATGTTTGAAAGCTCTTCATAGTCCGAAGCCAAATGTCTTAATTACTATTGTTTTTTTTTTTCCATTTTTATATTTAAGAATCTATTTATTTTTTGATGGATTTTATTTATATCTTTGTTATTTATTTTTCTGATTGACGTCTGTAAATCCTCGGGACGGGTTGGTGGGTCGGTGGAAGGGATATTTGTGTGTATGGTTCTGTTTGTGAATGAAAAACTATAAATAAACTATATAAAAAAAAAACAACTCACAAAATTGATTTAAAAAGACAGTTTGTAAAATCCATCTCTGATCGGAGTTATCTTTGATCAGGATTTGTCATTTAACTCCATTTAAATCCATGCATTTCTTACTTCAAGGCTGGATTACTGCAACTCTTTATTATCAGGTTGCCCCAATAAGTCCATTAAAACGCTCCAATTAATTCAGAACGCTGCAGCACGAGTACTGACAGGAACTAGAAAAAGAGATCACATCTCTCCTGTACTAGCTACTCTGCATTGGCTCCCTATAAAATGTAGAATTGAATTTAAAATACTCCTCCTCACCTATAAAGCTCTTCATGGTCAGGCCCCTTCATATCTTAAAGAGCTCATAGTACCCTATTACCCCACTAGAACACTACGTTCTCTGAATGCTGGGCTACTTGTGGTTCCTATAGTCTCTAAAAGTAGAACAGGAGCCAGAGCCTTCAGTTACCAAGCTCCTCTCCTGTGGAACCAGCTTCCAGTTGTGGTTCGGGAGGCAGACACCCTCACCACATTCAAGAGTAGGCTTAAGACATTCCTCTTTGATAAAGCTTATAGTTAGGGCTGGATCAGGTGAGTCCTGAACCATCCCTTAGTTATGCTGCTATAGGCCTAGACTATCGGGGGGATTTCCCATGGTGCACTGAGCTCCTCTCTTCCTCTCTCTTTCTGCACTCATTCATGTCCCATTAATGCATGTTACTAACTTCACTTCTTCCCCGGAGTTCTTGTGCTTTCTCGTCTCGCAGGTTCTCATGGATCCTGGTGGAGCCTCCTGCCATGGTCCTGCTAGATTGCCATTGTCAATACTGTTGTTGCTGTGCACCTGTCTGTCTGTCTGTCTGTCTGTCTGTCTCTCTCTCTCTCTCTCTCTCTCTCTCTCTCTCTCTCTCTCTCTCTCTATCACCCCAACTGGTCGAGACAGACGACCACCCACCTAGAGCCGGAGGATCTGTCCTAGGTTTCTGCCTTTTAACAGGCAGTTTTTCCTTGCCCTTGTCTCCAAGGTCTTGCTCATGGTGGTACTGTTGGGTCTCTGTAATTAATGTTTTAAAGAGTTCGGTCTAGACCTGCTCTATTTGAAAAGTGTCCTGAGATAACTTCTGTTATGAATTGGCGCTATACAAATAAAATTGAATTGAATTGAATTGGTTGTAATCAATAATTTTATCCTCTGACCTGGAAGCTGACGCTGGCGGCTCCAGCTGATTGGCCGAAGATGGTGATGTTGTCTGGGTTTCCTCCGAACGCCTCGATGTTCCTGCGGACCCAGGAGATGGCAGCATGCTGATCCCACAGGCCGTAGTTACCTGAGAGGTAAAAACACAGGAAGTCTCTGACTGCTGCACCGCTGCATATGCTATGTACTGCTATTAGCGGTCCTGTTGAGCTGGAAGGAGTTTAAACACTGCTAGAGTAGGAGCAGAGGGACACAGTGGGGAATACTGCCGGGAAGCGGGGCCCGAATGAGCCACAGAACCGGAACGAGGCTCCGACCAGGACTCTGACTCTGGGGATGAAGACACGGTGGCAGCCATTTTGTAGCCAGTTAATTAGTCAGTAACTGTTATCCATCATCCATCGGATCGATCAGTCAGGATTAGTTTCAGTGAAGTTGGAAGTTATTTATTCCGTGTTGAACAACCAGACTGTGTGATGTTTCACTGTGTTGCTGCTTGTTCTGACTCACAATCATTACTGCTGTTTCTGTTAGCATTTAACAGATATACACATTATAACCAATACAGTGATGTCAAAAACCATCAACAGTCAACCACTGGCTTTAACTAACGACTGCTAGTCAACAATCTTTAGTCGGGGCCAGTATTAGTCATTTCACTGTTGACCACAGTCTCTGTTTGAATGGATCTAAAGACTCTTGTGATTGAAATGCAGATTCAGTTCCCGAGTTCTCAGAAAGCTTCCTGGGTTGGTTGAAAAGTTCCTGAAGTGGAAGAAGTAATAAATGTGTTAACTGACTCAGACTCAACAACCAACTCCTCACACCTGAGCCACAAAGTGTAGCAGCTGAGCTAACAGCCTCAGTTTATCTGCTTACACACTGATAAGACCACAAACACATAACAGCTCCAATCACATGCATGCTGGGAAATCACAAGCCGTCACCAAAACTCTCCAGATCGATCCCAGTCTGACCCTGAAATACTGACTCTGTGCTTCAGCGTGGAGGGAAAAGTCCCACAAAGTGCAGCCGGCTAATTTAGATAATCAATCACCTGTTCTGATCAGTTGTTTCTGCTTCCCAACATTCAACTGACCCCTGACTCAGTGACACATTGTCTGTATATTTCATACTATTCTTATAATATATATATATATATATATATATATATATATATATATATATATATATATATATATATATATATATATATTCTTCAAATAATATTAGTCTGTTAGAAATGAGAGACAGAGAATGGATCAAAATATCAGGAAAACTCATCTCTGATCAATATTCACAGGAAATAATCAAACTTCCTGCAGTTATTGAGTTCACTGTTCAGATCAATAATAATATTATAATAATATACACTGTGATCAATGATAATATACACTATAACTAAATAACTATTTCATTAAAGTTTTAGTCACAGATATTAACTAAATGTTAATTAAACCCCCTGTAAAGCTTTGGCGACCCCTAGTGGGGGTCCCGACCCTCAGTTTGGGACCCACTGCACTGACCAATCAATCAATAGAAGATGAATAGAGAGTGTGTGTGGGTCAGACCTGGCAGTCGGGCGTCTCCGGAGCTCAGGAATCCCAGCGTCCCGACTCTGTAGTTCACCGTGACGATGATGACGTTGCCTCTTTCGGCCATCTCCTTCCCGTCGTACAGAGAGTCTCCGAGGATCGCCACGTCGTTGGACGCCCCCAACAGGAAGGCTCCTCCGAACAGGTACACCATCACCGGCAGGTTGGAGGACACTGACGCAGGGAGACACTCGTTATCTCAGCCTCTCTAACGAGGTTGTAGTTGTTTATTATTAGTTGTTTAAGGTCGAAGGTGTTCTGTAGCTGAGCATCATTTTTTTATTTGAAGATCTCATTGTCAAAGACAGACTATATACATATATACATATATATATATATTACGTGTATATATATATATATATATGTATATATATACACAATATATACATATGTAATAGTTCACACAGCCTGTGGTTGGCTAGCAGTAAACATGCTAACAGATTAGCTCCAGTGCTAACTTTCAGGAAATGACTTTCTTTCCTGACTAAATTATTAATATTAACTATTAAAATAAAATGTGCAGAAACGTCTCAGAAAATAAAAAAAAGAGTTTATGAAGTTTAACTTAAAGTGGCAGTTTGTCACATGATGTAAGACTTCCTGTACAAAAGCTTCAGTGTGTGTGTGTGTGTGTGTGTGTGTGTGTTACCTACATTTCCGTCCCTGTGGAACGAAGATGTTCAGGTACAGACAGTCCTCGCTGCCCTGGGTTTTTGTCTGCAGCAGCGTCACCTGCAGGCAGCGATCCCGATATTTAATCGCCTTCAGGATTCCTGGAATCAACAAACACTTGAATTTGTTTCCATTTTATTTCATTCTTCAGCTCATTAAACCTCATTGCACTGCTCGTTCAGTCAGGACTAATTAACTCCTTATATTCACACAGGTTCAGAGCCAAGCTAGCTCTTTCCTCCTGCTTCCAGTCTTTATGCTAAGCTAAGCTAACCATGTCTTTTTAGCTTTTGTCTTTGAATTGATGGAAAATGTCAGAATTTATTCAACTAGTCTGACCTGTACACCCAGCAGTGATGTCACAATGTACACCTGTACACCCAGCAGTGATGTCACAATGTACACCTGTACACCCAGCAGTGATGTCACGGTGTACACCTGTACACCCAGCAGTGATGTCACGGTGTACACCTGTTCACCCAGCAGCCAGGTGAGGGGTCAACCCACTGGAGGTCACAGACTTACCGCTCCATCCGGGATGAGGTTTTGGTTTCTCCCACTTTCCGGGGACGTCAGCAAAGGGGATTCCTTTAAAGACGTCAACGGTCCTGAACAGCCCCATCCTGTGACTCTTCCCCTCCACCTGCCCCCCCTCCGTCTGCACCACGCCCAGCTGCACACACACACACACACACACACACACACACACACACACACACACACACACACACACACACACACAGAACAGCTGATAAACTGATCAATGGACACAAACAGTGAACTGCAGGAAGTGAATTGAAGTGTTGCAGTTTTCCTGATATTTCATTAAACTTTTTATAATGTCTGTATAGTTTTAAAGTTTTCCTGCACCCTTAAAATCAAAAGGTCACACAAAGACTGTGTTTGCTGCAGAGGTCAGATGTTCTCAGTGCGATAGAAAGCTGATTGTTCTCTGATTGGTTAGTTTGTCAGGAAGCAAATCAAAACAGTGACGGTGACTGATATGAGCTGCTGATAATCTTTATGTGTCTTCATGTTCAGACTCAAACCAGCACTGAATATATATATGATTAATTCGTGTTACGACAGGACACAACGTGGCCGCAGCACGCCCCGAGTTGCGTGGAGTGCGAGGTCCCGCCCAACGCTGCTTGCAGCTTTAATTATTATTGTTGTTGTTGTTGTTGTTGTTGAATAATGAGAAGAAAACTGTGAATCTGTCAGAAAAGATTAATATTAAGTCTGTATGATTGTTAAAAATGATAAAAATATATAATATGTGGATTCATCCGCTGCTGAACGCTCTCAGCTGATTTAAACATGAAGACAAACAGAATATCTGCGTCTGTAAAGAGCAGCAAACATAAAATAATATAAAAACAACAGATTTATACTTTGTTAAACGTATGGAGCTGTGATCAGGTCACACTCACCTTTGCAGCTGAGGCTGAGTTCAGCCAGACGCCGAACAGAACTACCAATACCAGCATCATCACCTGTCTGTCTGTCCACCTGTCTGTCTGTGTGCAGCCACTCTGCAGTTGCTCTGCCTCGCTGTCTGAACACCTGCTCTTTATACTCTGATGGAAACCTCTTATCTCCACCGGCTCCGCTGAAGGCTTGAAAGGAACCTTGTTCTCGGGAGGAGGGTCCGACTGCAGTCCTCCATCTGAGAGCCAATGGGGGTTGAGCTCTTCACTGCGGAGTAATCTGAGTATTTTAACTCCTCAGCAGTCCAATAAAATCTGTTTCTGAGGCTTCTTCATTAGATCTACAAGCCTGAAGTTATTAATTAATGAGAATCCTTCATCTTTCTTGAAGTTACTTTTAATGTGAACAAATACAGATTAGCAGCGCGGCTAGCTTCTTAAAAGGTATTTAACACTATAATAAAGGTGAATTCAGTTTGTTTCCCACATTAGAAAAACGTTATAAATACAATTTAATGTAAATGTTTACATTCATTTCCCCAAAAGTGCTGTGGTTAGAAACTGCACTGCCAACATCTACTTTTTTACATTAAACCTGTATTTCTGATTGTTTACTGTGTACATCTTTAGCACAGTAACATGTGAACTATTATCACTATCTGCTCCAATGGAATCAGCTAATAATCCCCAGATGAAGTCAGTCAGAGTTCCCAGTGGAGAACATGAAGATTCCCTTTGTTTTAATTCTACATTGTCTAGAATTCAGGGTTTACAGACACTGCAGCTGCAGCTCAGAGACAGCGAGGGAGAGCGCAGTGACTGCAGCCGAAGCTCAGAGACGGCGAGGGAGAGCGCAGTGACTGCAGCTGCAGCTCAGAGACGGCGAGGGAGAGCGCAGTGACTGCAGCTGCAGCTCAGAGACGGCGAGGGAGAGCGCAGTGACTGCAGCCGAAGCTCAGAGACAGCGAGGGAGAGCGCAGTGACTGCAGCCGAAGCTCAGAGACAGCGAGGGAGAGCGCAGTGACTGCAGCCGAAGCTCAGAGACAGCGAGGGAGAGCGCAGTGACTGCAGCCGAAGCTCAGAGACAGCGAGGGAGAGCGCAGTGACTGCAGCTGCAGCTCAGAGACAGCGAGGGAGAGCGCAGTGACTGCAGCCGAAGCTCAGAGACAGCGAGGGAGAGCGCAGTGACTGCAGCCGAATCTCAGAGACAGCGAGGGAGAGCGCAGTGACTGCAGCCGAAGCTCAGAGACAGCGAGGGAGAGCGCAGTGACTGCAGCCGAATCTCAGAGACAGCGAGGGAGAGCGCAGTGACTGCAGCCGAATCTCAGAGACAGCGAGGGAGAGCGCAGTGACTGCAGCTGCAGCTCAGAGACAGCGAGGGAGAGCGCAGTGACTGCAGCCGAATCTCAGAGACAGCGAGGGAGAGCGCAGTGACTGCAGCCGAAGCTCAGAGACAGCGAGGGAGAGCGCAGTGACTGCAGCCGAATCTCAGAGACAGCGAGGGAGAGCGCAGTGACTGCAGCTGCAGCTCAGAGACAGCGAGGGAGAGCGCAGTGACTGCAGCCGAAGCTCAGAGACAGCGAGGGAGAGCGCAGTGACTGCAGCCGAAGCTCAGAGACAACGAGGGAGAGCGCAGTGACTGCAGCCGAATCTCAGCACTCATTGCAGTTTGACTGCAGGTTGGACTCTTCAGTTACCGACAGTTTTACGTTCACACCTTCGTCAGGTAAGTGAACAGTCTCAGTGACCTTAAGACTATCGAATCAGGGTTAGTAAACAGATTTATTACATTTATTATTAATATTACATCTCTCTAAATTCAAAAACTCTTAATATGGCTCCAACAGACTAATCAATAATCAGAGAGAAATAAAAGAGTGTTGGTTACAGGAGCTCAGGGTCTGTTTCTGTTACACAACAACCTGCAGAGTTTTTATAATCAGACTGAGAATATACACAGCTGCTGCACACACACACACACACACACACACACACACACACACACAGTAACACACACACACACACACACACACACACACACACACACAGTAACACACACACACACACACACACACACACACACGCATGAGAGAGTTTTGGCATCAGATTGTTTCTGTAGTTTTAATTTACATGGCAATATTAATAAAATTACAGAAATATCCTGTGAATTTAACAAACAGAAACGTTGAATAAATGTTGTTTATCAGTGTATAAGGTAAACTGTCCAAATACAGTTGTTATCAGTGTAAACAGCAATAATTACTGTAATCTCACAGATAATGACTTTTATTACACTTCTATAACTTTTAACATTCACATTAAAATAATAATAATCCAATAATAACAGCACTCTGCTGTAAATGTAAGTCTGATTATTGTATTATAGCAGTTTCTTATAGGTCATTTCAGATTTTATGATTTTATGTAAAATTAAAGCTAAAATTAGGGTCAGTTATTTTCTGTTGTTGTAGTCTCTCTGGCGCTCCAGCTGCTGGAATATTGTCCCACAGCGAACTGAGACGCTGCAGCAGTTCAGATGATGGATGGAGGGATAATTATTATATATACAGTCAGAAATATTACTAAATGTGAAAATGTTCAGTCATTATGAGCTCTACAGAGGTTATTGTTGTTGTTTATAACTGTACATAGTAGTTTATGTGTATGTTTTTGAGCTTGTTGTCCTGTTTATGTTTATTCTGTGTATGAACATTGAGAGCAACATAAACCGGCAGTCAGACTGCTTGTGGCCAATAAAAGTGATCCTGTGTCTGATATTGTCGGCTGGAACGTGTTTGTCCGATCTTCTCGTGGCTCCGTGAACGCCTCCTGACGTTGATTGACAGCGGCAGAGTGGGCGGGGCCTCGCGTTGCTCAATATGGCTGCGCCCTGCTCGGATCAACAGGTCTGAAGGTAACCGAGATCTTCTTGTTGTTGTTTACTCCCAGAAGCTGTTTGTTGTTTACTCCCACAAGCTGTTTGTTGTTTACTTCCACAAGCTGTTTGTTTGTTTACGAGCACCGGAAGTTACCCAGCACCTGCGGGCGGGAACGTGCCGCTGTCAGCTGTTAGCATGTTAGCATGTTAGCTTAGCTTCCTGCTGCTAGCGGCTGTAATGCTAACTGTTAGCCTCAGTGCTAACTCTCAGTTTATAACTAATAATGACCGCGATTGTGACGTCACATTCATCATATTACAGCAGTGACGTCATAGAGATTACAAACAATAAACAGTAAACAAACAGTAGAGTACAGCTGCACTGATAATCAATAATCAATAATAATCACTGTAAACTGTAAACAATAAATAAACACAGGCAGAGTCACTGTTGTTGTTGTTGTTGTTGTTGTTGTTGTTATTGAATATAAATAATAATAATGAGTTAACAACGTTTATATTTTATCAACCACATATATTTAAAAAGTATTGATCTTCAGAGTAACTGCAGCAGTACGAGTAATCAGAGTACTTCAGTGGGTGTAACTCAGTGTTTAATATATTTATATATTTTATATAAAATATAAAATATATAAATATATTTATAAAACTTTATTGAAACCTGATGAAACAAACAAATAAAAAGTTATTTTATTTTTGGTACTTTATGTTTGAAATAATATCTGTCTGTCTGCCTGTGTGTCTGTCTCTCTCTCTCTCCGTCTCTCTCTCCATCTCTCTGTCTGTGTGCCTGTCTGTCTGCCTGTCTGTCTCTCCATCTCTCTGCCTGTGTGTCTGTCTGCCTCTGTGTCTGTCTGCCTGTCTGCCTGTCTCTCTCTTCGTCTCTCTCTCCGTCTCTCTGTCTGCCTGTCTGTCTGCCTCTGTGTCTGTCTGTCTGTCTCCAGGTGTCCATGATGTCCAGGGAGCAGGTGAGTATCAGTGAGCTCCTGCTCTCATTGGACAGCTCTGAGCTGCAGGAGGCGGAGCTAGTCAGAGCCGCAGTCAACCAGCAGCTGAGTACAGGTGAGTCCACCTGTCTGTCTCTACCTGCCTGTCTCCACCTGTCTGTCACCACCTGTCTGTGTAACCTGTAGTTTCTCCTGTCAGACAGAGGAGGCGCCGTCCTCTCCGCTCTGGTGGAGTATTACCTGGACTCCTCGTCCTCTCAGGCGGTTCTCCTCCTGTCCTCCATCAGAGAGCCTCACCACAAGGTCAGCTGACTGTCTGATCACATGACTCTTTATGTCACATACTGTATTATTGATCATCATTGATTCCCCCCCCCCAGGCCCTGCTGGAGAAGCTCAATGAGTCTCTGAGCAGACCTGGAACCAGACTGGCTGGTGTGACCCTGCTGGGCCACCTGATCAGGAAGCAGCCTCCGTGGGTTCATCACATCAGCCGCTCGGCTCTGCTGCCGTCACTGCTGCGCTGCCTCAAGGTGCTAATGCTGCTAATGCTAATGCTGACACCTTTCTATCAGTTATAAAGTGATCACAACATTATTACAACATTATTATAACATTATTATAACATTATTACAACATTATTATAACATTATTATAACATTATTACAACTTTATTATAACATTATTATAACATTATTACAACATTATTATAACCTCATTACAACATTATTACAACATTATTACAACATTATTATAAAGTGATCACAACATTATTACAACATTATTATAACATTATTATAACATTATTACAACATTATTACAACATTATTACAACTTTATTATAACATTATTACAACATTATTATAAAGTGATCACAACATTATTACAACATTATTATAAAGTGATCACAACATTATTATAACATTATTACAATATTATTACAACATTGTTATAACATTATTATAACATTATTATAACATTATTATAACATTATTACAACATTATTATAACATTATTACAACATTATTATAAAGTGATCACAACATTATTACAACATTATTATAACATTATTACAACATTATTATAAAGTGATCACAACATTATTATAACATTATTATAACATTGTTATAACATTATTACAACATTATTATAAAGTGATCACAACATTATTATAACATTATACAATATTATTACAACATTGTTATAACATTATTATAACATTATTATAACATTATTACAACATTATTATAACATTATTACAACATTATTATAAAGTGATCACAACATTATTATAACATTATTATAACATTGTTATAACATTATTATAACATTATTATAACATTATTACAACATTATTACAACATTATTATAAAGTGATCACAACATTATTATAACATTATTACAACTTTATTATAACATTATTACAACTTTATTATAACATTATTACAACATTATTATAACATTATTATAACATTATTACAACATTATTACAACATTATTATAACATTATTACAACATTATTACAACATTATTACAACTTTATTATAACATTATTACAACATTGTCATAACATTATTACAACATTATTATAACCTCATTACAACATTATTATAACATTATTAGAACATTATTATAACATTATTATAACATTATTACAACATTATTATAACATTATTACAACATTATTATAACATTATTACAACATTATTATAACCTCATTACAACATTATTACAACATTATTATAACATTATTATAACATTATTAAAACATTATTATAACATTATTACAACATTATTATAACATTATTACATTATTATAACCTCATTACAACATTATTATAACCTCATTACAACATTATTATAACCTCATTACAACATTATTATAACCTTTCTTTCACTCTGTGCCGTTGAGCAAGGCACTAACACTCTCAGCTTCCTCAGACCGACACTGACGTCGTCGTGCTGATCACCGGAGTCCTCGTCCTCATCACTCTGTTACCCATGATCCCTCAGGCCGGGAAACAACACATCTACGACTTCTTCGACGTGTTCGGACGACTCGCTTCCTGGAGCTACAAAAACCCTGGTAACACACACACACACACACACACACTGTAACACACACACACACACACACACACTGTAACACACACACACAGTAACACACACACACACACACACTGTAACACACACAGTAACACACACACACACACAGTAACACACACACAGTAACACACACACACACACACACAGTAACACACACACACACACACAGTAACACACACACACACACAGTAACACCCCCAACACACAGTACACACACACACACACACACGGATGGGGGGGATTGGAGTGCTCTGATTGGTTGTTGGGGTGCTCTGATTGGTTGTTGGGGTGCTCTGATTGGTTGTCTGTTGTCTCCTGCAGGTCATGTCCCTGTGGTCCACCTGGTCCACCTCCATGCAGGTGTGTACTCTCTGTTCCACCGTCTGTATGGGATGTTCCCTTGTAACTTCATCTCCTACCTGAGACTGCACTACAGCATGAAGGAGAACCTGGACACCTTCCAGGAGGTTGTAAAGGTCAGTGCAGACCGCTACAGACCACTACAGACCACTACAGACCACTACAGACCTCTGCAGACCACTGCAGACCACTACAGACCACTACAGACCTCTACAGACCACTGCAGACCACTACAGACCACTATAGACCTCTACAGACCACTACAGATCACTGTAGACCACTGCAGATCACCTCTACAGACCTCTACAGACCACTACAGACCACTGCAGACCACTGCAGACCTCTACTGACCACTACAGACCACTGCAGACCACTGCAGACCACTACAGACCTCTACTGACCACTACAGACCTCTACAGACCACTGTAGACCATTGTAGACCACTTCAGACCACCTCTACAGACCTCTACAGACCACCTCTACAGACCACTCTACAGACCACTACAGACCACTGCAGGCCACTGTAGCTAATTCAGCTGCTTTAATGGAGACTGTAAACACGGGGTTCAGGATGTAGCCTACAGCTAATGCTGCTATCCATTTGTCTCGTAAACCCCCCGCCCGAGTTGGAAAGTGTAAATCTCGCAGCTATCTCACGACATTTCACAGAGACGTGGTTTCCCCTGGAGGCTCCTGGTGGCTCTCCTGGAGGCCCCTGGTGGCCCCTGGTGGCTCGAGACAAACGCCACAGCACTTGTTGACATTGAAATAGGCGGAAATGGCAAAATATTATTGAACTGTGAGACTTGCAATAACAGAATTACTTGAAATGTTTGTGTAGAAAAACATTATTATTTCACATTGAGCTCGTTTAGATGATCCGCAATCAATAACACAGCTGCTGCACTGGTGGCGTCCATGTTCTCTCTGACTCGTAATGCCCAAAGACAAATGGATCTCTATAAGTGGTACGAGCCGGGTAATTACGTCACGTTCCCGCAGCAGAACAACTCGGGCTCCGAGTTCACGAGACAAATGGATCGCACCATTACTCCATGCTAACATTATACTTCCTGTTTCCACCTGGTTGTCTGTCGTACCCTAACCTATAAACGGACGTTATTGATCCAGGCTGAGGACATTGAGCCTCACTGTGGTTGCTGTTAATGATGAGTGATTGATATATTGATTGATTCCCAGTATCGGCTGTGTACTGGTTCCCAGTGCTGCTGTCAGACTGTGGATACCAGCTGCTCCGTTTCCCACATAACTCGAGCTGAGACGTTCAGGGGCTGCTGGAAATGTTAAACACACAAACTGATGTAACAGTTCCAGTGACTGACACTGTCTCTGATACTACAATACCCATGAGCCTCAGCGGCTGCTGTTATACAGACAAAGCCAAAATGATAACGGCTGAATGTTTCTTTAGTTCCAGCCGTTAACGTGGAGCTCTCTGATTGGCTGTTTGTTAGTGAAATGCACCCTGGGAGTCGTAGTTTATATAAACTTTATAAAGTATACAAACAGTTAGCTTGGAACAATAATGTTTGTCTGATATTTAAATTCACTCTCTGTCTCTCTCTCTCTCTCTCTCTCTCTCTCTCTCTCTCTCTCTCTCTCTCTCTCTCTCTGTCTGTCTCTCTCTCTCTCTCTCTGTCTCTCTCTGTCTGTCTCTCTGTCTCTCTTTCTGTCTGTCTGTCTCTCTCTCTCTGTCTGTCTCTCTCTCTCTCTGTCTCTCTGTCTCTCTCTCTGTCTGTCTCTCTCTCTCTCTGTTCTCTCTCTCTCTGTATGATGTAACACTGTACATATTGCTAAAGCAAGTGTTTGGAATTAAAAATAATAATCATAACAATAAAGGAAAACAATATTTACAATAAATGAATTATAATCTCTACTGTTGGTAATACTGTAACTATGATTGACTCAATCACAGTCACAGTCAATCAATCTCAGTCAATAAGTAATCAATCAATCAGTTTGTGTTAACTAAAAATGTCATTAAAACAGTATTAAAGTAACTACAGTTAAAACAAGTAATCTGTTGTCAATATAACAGTAATAACTAATTATAAAATAAAAATAAAATAGATAAAACTGTAAACGTGGGGTGTTCGGACGGGCCTGCCCCTACTGCTAAAAACAATCCTAGAGGAAACACTGTTAAAGTGTGAAGGCTATATACACTGTCGGTGGTGTGGTGTTTTGGGAGGAAGCCAATCTGACTTTTACTTAAGATTAACTGTTCCTCAAGGAAATCTAGTATTCTTGTGTTAAGAATACTACAGAATAGTTTACCTAGACAGCTGCTGACACAGATGCTATGGTAGTTATTAGGGTCTGATTTGTCCCCACTCTTATGAATGGGGGAAATGAGCCCTTTGCACCAGATGTTGGGAAAACATCCTGCCTGTAGTATAACATTGAACAAATGTAACACTGCACCCTGCATTTCTGGGGTGCTGCTTTTCTAATGCTGTCTGGACCACAAGCTTTCCTTGGCTTCAGACATTTTGTCTGTATGGTTATTTCTTCCCAAGTAATTTCTAAATCAAGGGGGTTTTGGTTGTCTTTAATTGTTTCTTCTAGTTTTTGGAGTTTTTCTTTCATAATACACTGATCTGAATTAATTTGATTGATTGGTATGTCTTTGTACAGATTTTAGTGATCTCCAGATGTCACCGTTTTGGATGGGTAATGTCTGCTGTTGCTTTGTGTTGAACTTGTTCCACATATCCCAGAATTGATTTTGGTTAATGGCATTCTCAATATCTTCCAGTTTCAATTGGGTATATTTTTGTTTTTTGATCCTAATTGTGTATTTATATGTATTTAAAATTTCATTGTATCGAATGCGCAGGGCTGGGTTGTTTGGTTGGCGATGTTGATTGTTTTGCATTCTTGATCAAACCATTTGTCAGTATTTTGCCTTTTAACAGGTCTCCTTCTTTGCTTTATGAGGTCAGCCCTAATAGCTGCCTTATGAAATATCATATTGATATCCTCAGTGGCATTGTTTACCCCATCTCTGGTAGGGACATATTGAGTTTGATTATATATTGATATGTAATTCATCAAATCAGGGGAGTTCAAAGCCTTGATGAATTTGTCTCCACTGTCTGAGGCCCATCTGTAAGAAGGATTTAATTTATACAGCTTATTGGGTTCCCTTTTTGTGTCACTAATTTGTCCTTTTAACCCTTTAATTTAAAGAACACATTAATTTGGTTGTGGTCTGAAAGGGGGGATTGCTGTCTGACAGTGAATGCACTGATAGTTGAGGGGTCCATGTCAGTGATTGCATAGTCTACAACACTAGACCCAGGAGCTGAGGAGTATGTGAACCTCCCTAAAGAGTCCCCTCTGAACCTACCATTAACTATGTACAGGCCTAAGGCCCGACAGAGATCTCCCTGCCACTTTGATTTAATATTGAGTCAAGTTTATTCCGACAGGTGATGTTTGGTTTGGTAAACAGTGGGGCCTGACTGAATACATGGTTGTTGCCCCGTGTGTCAATGATATCAGGTTCAATTCCTGTACGTCCATTCAGATCTCCAGTTAGAAGTACATTTCCCTGGGCCTGGAAATAGGCGATTTCTGAGTTTAGGGTGTCAAAAATGTCCTCTTCAAAATAAGGAGAATCCACTGGGGGTATGTAAATTGCACAGAGGTATAGATCCCTATCGGTTATGCCCAGGGTTTGATCTAACCTCAACCAAATGTGCGATTTACTCTGTTTTACTGGTGAGATCTGATTGCAAAGATCTCCTTTATACCACACCAAAATCCCCCCGTTCTCCCTTGCTATGTTTTTTAGTTTTATGGAGGGCACCATGACTTCATTATATCCTGGGGGACAGTGAGTGAGCAAATCATCTTGACACCATGTTTCTGTCACAATGATATCAACGTCTTTGATAGATTTCATGAACTCAGGGTTTCCACTCTTCAGCTCAAAGGTTGAGGAGTGGAGACCCTGAATATTCCAACAGCTTATATGAAATGAACGCATCAAAAAAGAAAACAATCAAAATGAACCTGTATAGTGAGACAAATATTTAAAAAACCTTCTACTATCTATATATTTATAATAATAATTTGATATTAATTCCATGGAGATGTACTATTTTCAATAATATTACCATTGTACTGACTAAACTACTCTCTCTCTCTCTCTCTCTCTCTCTCTCTCTCTCTCTCTGTCTGTCTGTCTGTCTGTCTGTCTGTCTGTCTGTCTGTCTGTGTCTGTCTGTCTCTCAGCCGATGCTGGAACACGTCAGGGTTCATCCAGAGTTGGTCACGGGGACTCAGGACTATGAACTGGACCCGTCCAGGTGAGTCACAGGTACCACAGAACCTGAGGTTAGTTAAACAATAACAGATACAGATAGAAACTGTTTCCTGTCGGAGCACAGAATCACCTGACCTCACCTTTTTGAACATAGCCCCGCCTACTTTAAACCAGTCACACGTTTACCTTCCTGTGTGTCTCAGGTGGAGGCGTTACGAGGTCCATGACATCGTGATCGAGTGCTCCAGAGTGTCTCTGGATCCTCTGGAGTCGTCCTGTGAGGAGGACATCTACTCCTCCCTCAAAGACCCTCCCCCGTCCTCACCCTCACCCAGACCTCCACCACTCTCCTCCCCCTTCCCTCACCTGAACCTCACCTCAGACACTGTCGGCAGTTCAGGTCAGTGACACACACAAACACACTGACTCACACACAAATTACTGATTGATACTTTTGATTGATTGATAAGTTACAGTCAAACCCAATTAATAAATAATTAATGAATAATTAATTTTACTAAATCAGATGATTTTAAGGTATAAACGAGTGAATTTGTTTTATTTACTGTTACTGACAGGAAGTTCAGTCTGTTCTCCGCTGCCTGGACGTCCCTCTCTCACTCAGCTGACACTCAGCAGCTCCTACATACAGGTAATATTATTTACTCCTCCCTCCCTTCCTCCCTCCCTTCCTCCCTCCCTCACTCACATACTGTTACTGTGTTCAGGCTGATGATGTCACATGGAGCCCCTCCTCACAGTGTGGTTTGTCGACGCCCCCTCCTGAACCTGCTGCTACAGGCTCCGCCCACCCACTGAGCAGGACCACCTCCATCTCAAGTGAGGCACTGAGACAGTGAGACAGTGAGACATTGAGACACTGAGACAGTGAGACATTGAGACAGTGAGACAGTGAGACATTGAGACAGTGAGACACTGAGACAGTGAGACACGGTGTTAATGTTGTCCCTCTAACTAAAGAGGGGAGAAATAATCACAATAGATATGAGATGTGTGTCTCTTGTGCGAGCTTTACTCGAATGTATCAATTCCCAACTTGTCACATTAACACATAATAATCCTGATAAATAACTCTTTCTGTCTGTCTGTCTGTCTCTCTCTCTCTGTCTCTCTCTCTATCTCTCTCTGTCTGTCTGTCTGTGTGACTCCAGGTGTGAGATCATCAGCCCCCGTCCCGGTGACGCCGTTGACAGAAGATGGCGCTCTGACTCCTGACTCCGGCCACCAGGTGGGCTCAGACTGCAGACGGACGCTCTGAGAGGAACGGAGGACGCACAGACTGAAATAATAGAAACCTTCTCTCTCCCTCGCAGGTGAAGCCTTTCACAGAGCTGGAGGGGTCATCCTGTCAGCCAATCACAGAGAAGGAGGGGACAGGCCAGAGTGATGTCATCAACACCAGCAGTGAAGGTCGGTATCATTGGATCCACATGGAGACAGAACCGAGCCCACTGGAACCAGAACTAAAGCTCTGACTGTAAACACTGTCTGTGTCTCTGCAGGGGTCAGATCTCCTCCTCCCTCCCCTCCCTCCTCCTCTCAGCCCGCCCTCCTCACCTCCACCCCCGGCCGTGACGAGGCCTTCTCTGGTTCAGCCCTCCCCCCTCCTCCCTGCTCTATATCACTCTGCTTCACCCCCCCTCACCCCTCAACAGTGGAGGGAGGCCCCACCCACAGCGAGCAGAGCCCCACCCCTCCATACGAGCTCCTGTTTGAGCTCGCTCTGCCCCGAGCCGCCACGCTGTTCATCGGGAAGAAGACGCAGGTAAAGCTTAGTCAACTGATCACTGTCCTCTGTTCATCCTGTAGTTCCTGTAGAGGACGCCGTCAGCAACAGGCTGCGTCTTCTTCTTGTTTTCTTTGGTTATTAAACTGGACAAAATCAAATTTTCTCTTATAGCTTCAAAAGATTATGTTTTTTTATAAAATGATAATCTTTAATAACTTATTGCAGCAACTTCCAGCTAAAATATCTTTCATAGCCTGATTGTCTTTATTCTTCCTCCCTATCTGTCCTTTACATTATCGGTCAATCTGACAATTTCTCCACTAATAAATTAATAATTGATTCTAGAAAATGTCTAGAAATATTATATCAATGAATAATAAATAAATAAGGTTATTATTATTAATGTACTGTAGGAGGCGCTGGAGAGAGCAGCGGGAGAGCAGAAGGAGGGAGGAGGAGGAGGAGGAGAGGGGGAGGACAGGGAGGAACAGCAGGCCTCCGTCTCTCCTCTGGAGGTTTTGGACCAGCTGATTGTCCACGGACACGACGCCCACGAAGGCCTCAGCAGGAGGTGAGCCTGTTACCATGGAGACCATTAATTGATGAAGGGTTTGATAAGAGCAGGATGACCTCGTTCACTCGTCTGTAACCTGCTGACTGTCTCTGAAGGAGGGATGTGTTGGTGTGTTGCAGGTTGTCAGCAGTCAGTAAGTCGGTGGATCGGAGTCATTGTGGAGGTAAACAGCAGAGCATGAAAACCAAAGGTACCTGAAACTAACACTGACCACACACTGGGACTCACCTGGTTAACTAATGAACGCTCACATTAACAGCTTGGATGGTCAGATGATGTTCTAATAGGGTTCTGGTGTTCCTGTTGTCTCAGGGTCCGGTACAGATACACAGTTAGTCCTCCAGGACGGTGCCCGGCGCCGATGGGACGGCGGTAAAATGAGCTCACAAGCAAATTCATTCTATATAATGAACAATATATGCGGCTGCAGGTACCGGAGCCTTGAGCGTCCACAAAGGATATTACACATAACGCACCGTCAGGACCAGATTAATCCTGATTTGATAAAAAATTTATGGAAAAGTTGTGAAATTCATTAAAAAGTAACTTTTCCTCTTAATGAAGCTCCCTGTGTAACTCTTCATAATATAATTTACTCATGAGTGCGTTTTATCACATTAATCTGACACCAGAGCTAACGTTAGCATCCAGCTCAGAGTCCAGCTGAGCACCATATGGATCTTCTTTCAGTCCATTTTAATTATCCTGATCATTTATAATAATGTACATTTCCCATTATGGTAAATTATCGTTCATCCCGAGAGGAAAGTGCTTGCTTGTTTGTTTGATTATTCCAACCATACTTTGATCTGACTGAACGGTTCAGCATGAACATGAGTGGAAGTGAGGTTGTCCTAATAACAACCATTAATCTCCACTAACCTCCACTAACCTCCACTAACAACCATTAACCTCCACTAACAACCATTAACCTCCACTAACCTCCATTAATCTCCACTAACCTCCACTAACAACCATTAACCTCCACTAACAACCACTAACCTCCACTAACAACCATTAACCTCCACTAACAACCACTAACCTCCACTAACCTCCATTAATCTCCACTAACCTCCACTAACAACCATTAACCTCCACTAACAACCACTAACCTCCACTAACAACCATTAATCTCCACTAACCTCCACTAACAACCATTAATCTCCACTAACCTCCACTAACAACCATTAACCTCCACTAACAACCACTAACCTCCACTAAAAACCATTAACCTCCACTAACAACCATTAATCTCCACTAACAACCACTAACCTCCACTAACAACCATTAATCTCCACTAACCTCCACTAACAACCATTAACCTCCACTAACAACCACTAACCTCCACTAACAACCATTAATCTCCACTAACCTCCACTAACAACCACTAACCTCCACTAACAACCATTAATCTCCACTAACCTCCACTAACAACCATTAACCTCCAATAACAACCACTAACCTCCACTAACAACCATTAACCTCCACTAACAACCATTAACCTCCACTAACAACCACTAACCTCCACTAACAACCATTAACCTCCACTAACAACCACTAACCTCCACTAACAACCATTAATCTCCACTAACCTCCACTAACAACCATTAACCTCCATTAATCTCCACTAACCTCCACTAACAACCATTAACCTCCACTAACAACCATTAACCTCCACTAACCTCCATTAATCTCCACTAACCTCCACTAACAACCATTAACCTCCACTAACAACCACTAACCTCCACTAACAACCATTAATCTCCACTAACCTCCACTAACCTCCACTAACAACCATTAACCTCCATTAATCTCCACTAACCTCCATTAATCTCCACTAACCTCCACTAACAACCATTAACCTCCACTAACCTCCATTAACCTCCACTAACCTCCATTAATCTCCACTAACCTCCACTAACAACCATTAACCTCCACTAACAACCACTAACCTCCACTAACAACCATTAATCTCCACTAATCTCCACTAACCTCCACTAACCTCCATTAACCTCCACTAACCTCCACTAACAACCATTAACCTCCATTAATCTCCACTAACCTCCACTAACAACCATTAACCTCCACTAACAACCATTAACCTCCACTAACCTCCATTAACCTCCACTAACAACCATTAACCTCCACTAACCTCCACTAACAACCATTAACCTCCACTAACCTCCATTAACCTCCACTAACAACCATTAACCTCCACTAACCTCCACTAACAACCATTAATCTCCACTAACCTCCATTAACCTCCACTAACCTCCATTAATCTCCACTAACCTCCACTAACAACCATTAACCTCCACTAACAACCACTAACCTCCACTAACAACCATTAACCTCCACTAACCCTAACCTTCCTCTAGCTTTGTGTTTCTGTATATTCTACTATCAGTCCGGTCCGGTCCGGTCGGTCCAGAGGATCCACTTTAATGTTCAGTGAACTTTCCCTCTAGCGCCACCCAGAGGATGAGAGGAGGAGCTTTCACATCATAACTTCCTCTGATACAGACAGAGAGAAATACATCTGCTGTTCAGCACTCTGAACTCCGGACTTCCTGCAGGGCTCTGAACGCATCGTGTGTGTTTTGATGTGTGTGTCAGGCCCCGCCCAGGGGGAGGAGCTTCAGTCTCTGAGGAGTCAGCTGTTGCTGGTCCACAGTCAGCTGCAGTACGAACGCTTCAAACGCCAACAGCACGCCATCAGAAACCGCCGTCTGCTGCGGAGAGTCATCAACGCCACCGCGCTGGAGGAGCACAGCGTCGCCATGGTAACGCACACACGGAAACACTGTCCAATGGCCACTGAAGGTTTTATTTCCTGTGTTTGTCTTTATCATGAATGATGACTTTCTCCTCTCTGTCTTCCTCCGTCCCTCCTGCTCATCTTCCTCCGTCTCTCCTCTCTGTCTTCCTCCGTCCCTCCTGCTCATCTTCCTCCGTCTCTCCTCTCTGTCTTCCTCCGTCCCTCCTGCTCATCTTCCTCCGTCCCTCCTGCTCATCTTCCTCCGTCTCTCCTCTCTGTCTTCCTCCGTCCCTCCTGCTCGTCTTCCTCGGCTGCAGAAGGGTCAGCTGAGCGTTCAGGACGAAGAGATTCGGTCTCTGAAGTTGAGTCTGGAGGAAGAACAGAGACGATACACACAGCTGCAGCAGGACACGCACACACACACCGAGCAGCTGCACACACACATCCAACAGCTGCTGCTGAGACAGCAAGACGGGCAGAGAGACAGCCAGAGACTGCAGGTACCCACACACAGACACACAGACAGGCTGCAGAGAGACAGACAGACTGCAGGTACCCACACACAGACACACAGACAGGCTGCAGAGAGACAGACAGACTGCAGGTGCCCACACATAGACACACAGACAGACTGCAGAGAGACAGACAGACTGCAGGTGCCCACACATAGACACACAGACACGCATACAGACAGACAGACAGACTGCAGGTACCCACACACATAGACAGACACAGACAGACTGAAACACACACACAGACAGACACACACACAGGTACCCACACACACAGACAGAGACAGACAGACAGACAGCAGAGAGACAGACAGAGAATGCAGGTACAGACAGACAGCAAAAAGAAACCTGTGTTGTGATTGGCTGTTTGAGGACCCGCTGTGTTGTGATTGGATGTTTCAGAGCGAGCTTCAGGAGTGTCAGAGCAGGTTGAGGGATCTGGAGGCGGAGCTTCAGAAAGCCAATAACAAGGCTTACAATGCAGAACACCAGCTGACCCAGCTGTCACTCAAGGTGAGGAGCCCTCCTATTGGCTGATTGATTAATGACATCATTCTTGTTTCCAGCTTACAAATAAAGAACTGGATGTGATTGATTAGTCGACTGGTTGTTAATCGTTGTTATATGTTATATATGTTATATTGTATTAATTTATTTGTGTTATATATATTATATATATTATATACATTTATTTGTGAGTGTTCTCTTTCTTTTACACTTGTTTAAATAAAAAATGTCCGTTAATCGATAGTGAAATGAATCAGGAAGTCTAATTAATGACATCTGAGTGATTAATATCTGATTGATTGATATCTGATTGATTGATATCTGATTGATTGATATCTGTGTGTCTCCAGCTGTGCAGCAGTGAGCAGCTGCAGCAGCAGATCTTCCTCCTGAACCAACAACTCATCCTCCTGAGAGAGACTAACAGAGGACTGACAGAGCAACTGGAGAGAGGACAGACACACTGCTGCACGGTGAGACCCACAGAGAGACAGACAGACACACTGCTGCACGGTGAGACACACAGAGAGACAGACAGACACACTGCTGCACGGTGAGACACACAGAGAGACAGACAGACACACTGCTGCACGGTGAGACACACAGAGAGACAGACAGACACACTGCTGCACGGTGAGACACACAGAGAGACAGACAGACACACTGCTGCACTGTGAGACCCACAGAGAGACAGACAGACACACTGCTGCACTGTGAGACACACAGAGAGACAGACAGACACACTGCTGCACTGTGAGAGACAGACAGACACACTGCTGCACTGTGAGACCCACAGAGAGACAGACAGACACACTGCTGCACTGTGAGAGACAGACAGACACACTGCTGCACTGTGAGAGACAGACAGACACACTGCTGCACTGTGAGACCCACAGAGAGACAGACAGACACACTGCTGCACTGTGAGAGACAGACAGACACACTGCTGCACTGTGAGACCCACAGAGAGACAGACAGAGACAGACAGACACACTGCTGCACTGTGAGAGACAGACAGACACACTGCTGCACTGTGAGACACACAGAGAGACAGACACACACACACACAGAGAGACAGACAGACAGACTGTATGTGGTCCTGGTCTCAGTACCGTGTCTGTGTGCGTTGGCAGGAGGCGTCCATGCTGCAGTGCACTGTGGGTAAAGACTACCAGCGGCTGAAGGACAGTGACGTCCAGCAGAGACAGAAGCTGGAAGCAGCCAATCACAGGATAGCAGAGCTGGAGACCCAGCTGGCCAAGAAAGACCAGCTGATCCTGGATCAGAAGAAAGTCCTGGAGGACACAAAGGCCCAGAGCAGGTCAGGGTCCTGGTTCAGTTCTCTGGGGAGTGCTGATCGATACACAGACTGTGATCAATTCACTGCTGTTACCAACGTGCCGCCGCTGTTTGGTTAACGAGGAGTCAACGTTTGAAAACGATGAAATTAAAACTTCCTGTTGGCTCCAGGAGTCTGGACGTGATACATACGCCGCGGCTGCTTTTCTAAATATGTTTGTAGGGGGCGCCACTGAGCCGCTACGCAACACCCGTCTGTAAGATGTCACATTTCTACTGCTTGTGTGTCGCCTTCCTTAGTTTAGTACATTTAGCCACAATGTGATCAGCTGTTACAACGACACATTTCATAATATCATGTGATCGACAGGTTGAAGGTCGGTGTGTTCGGGGCAGACTGGAGTTACAGCAACTTCCTGTTTGTTGGCGTTACGTCCAAATTCAAGACCACGGACGCGTTGTTCAACTAAAACTCACAAAGAGCTTTTAATGGTGATGGTCTTTAGACCACCGACCAAATCTGAAGTCGGTCCGATCAATTCCCGGGACGAGTTCGTTAAAACGCGACACGTGTAAATCGCCAAAAATGACGACTGGCCGAGACTGTTGGGTTTGTTTGGTAACGATTCACTGAACATCTGGTTCAAACCGGCACCAGGGCCCACACACTGACTGTTGTTGTTGTTGTTGTTGATGTTGATGATGTTGATGTTGATGTTGTTGTTGTTGATGATGATGATGTTGATGTTGTTGTTGTTGTTGATGATGATGATGATGTTGTTGTTGTTGATGTTGTTGTTGTTGTTGTTGATGATGAAGATGATGTTGTTGTTGTTGTTGTTTCAGAGCCGAGCTGTCGGCCTGTGAGAGTCGCTGTGTCGCTCTCCGGAGACTCACCCAGACTCTGCAGACCGAGATGCTTCACCTGTACAGTCAGATCCACCTGGAGACGCACGGCGACGCCTGCAGCCGGCCTCAGGACAGCAGCAGGTACGACACTCTGTCACAGGCTCTAAACCAATCAGAACACAGCTTCCGGTGATGATGTCACTGACAGTCAGCGTCTTTCTCGCCCTCAGGCCAAACGGCGGCAGCGTGGCTTTACTAGCTCCTCAGCCCCGCCCCTCCTCCTCTTCCGTTGGTATAATAAACGGAGGTGTGGAGGCCCTCTCCACCTCCCCGCTGCACCTCCCCTCCTGCTCCTCCTCCCCACTCTCCCTCTCCCCCATCGACTCCCCCCTGGCCGTCGGCTCCTTCCTGGAGCAGCGTGCGCGGCAGCTGTTCAGACCGACCAGTCACAGCCAGGAGGAGGAGGAGGAGGAGCAGCAGGAGGAGGAGGAAGAGGAGGAAGAGGAGGAAGAGGAGGAGGAGGCCCAGCCAGAGAGCCCTCCTGTGGCTCAGGAGGCAGAGGAGGTCACCCTCCTCGCAGGGAGTCCTCAGTTGGAGCCTCCGAGCCGGGCTTCAGCTCACAGCCTCCCGCCCTCTGGACCTCCAGCGCCTCCTGCAGACCTGACCCTCGCCGTCCGCCAGAGGAGACACGAACTGAGCATCATGGACTACGATGAGACGCTGCCGGAGTACTGACGGAGGAGTGGACGGGGGAGGAGGGAGGCGTAGAGAGATGTTGAGATCAGGCAGCAGGTGTTAACAGGCTACCGTTAGCCACGCTAACAGTCCACAATCAGCATCGGGACCTTCAGTCGCCATCAAACAGAACAAATACACAGCAGCACACAACCAGACACTGCTACTGATGAGCTAACTGCTAACTGCTAACTTTCATTTTACAGATTCAATCTTTCATTTAGAACAAAGCGAGATTTATGGATGACAACAATAACAATAACAACTGTGGTGAGTTACGCTAAAATTAGCTTATAAGCTAACCCAGTAAATTTATCTGTTTTATTTAATTCACCACGTTCTCAAATGTGTTGCTAAAGAGCTAATGTAAGTTAGCAAGTTATTATACGCTGGCTCAACAAAACACAAGCTAATATTATTAGCTTCATATTACAGCCGCCAGAAAGAGCTACGGACTCCGTCGCTCCTCCAGGAGTTTCATAAGCTGCTTTATTCCCCACATTCAGAAATGTGTTGCTAATGTTAGCTAACAGGCTAATGATAGTAGCTTAATATTACTGGAGCCAGAAAACTGAAAGGAGTCCGATAGATAGTCTCTGATAGAGACGTGTAACAATATTAAACAATAAGTTCTTATTACATTATTAAAAACAAATAAAGACGTCAGAGCAGCTCAACAATCTAGAATTGAATGAACTCATTAAATTTACTCGAGTATTTAATGTCACAGCACCAAGATAGAAACACTTTACAGCTGTCACAGGAGCATAGCTTACGTTGGCTTGTTAGCTAACTAGCAAGCAAAATTTGGGGGAATAATAATTCAGATTTTTCCTCATAAAACAGAGTTTTCATGTGAATTAACGTCTTTTTATTTTCTCGTTAGCTGCTGTGCTGAAAGGAAATGAGTTCTCACGGCGACTGAAGGTCCTGACTTTAAAGATTTATAGATATTTGGGTTTTTGTCTGCAGGGACAGAAACTGCTTATTAAAGCCAAAAATAAGGGAAGAAAAATGGAGGAAATTCAGTTTTTTAGTGTTAATGAATTTTACAAAGAAGCTAACAGCAGCAGCTATTAATGCTACGTTAGCTGTGACTTAAAACTGCCTTACTGTTGCCCAGTTACGGGTTTTTTTCTGCAGTTAGCCATGTCGCATATTTTTCAAACACACCTTCATCAAAACACTAAATGAGATCTGACTTCTGCAATAAACCTTCCTCAGGAAATGAACTGACAACGAGTAACACAAGATCTGACATCACCTTATGAAGTGGCTAACACGTTAGCAGACCGCTGCTTACTTCCACATCCAGCAGAGCAACACGATCATCACACTAATTGGTCGTGGGGTTCCTCAGGGTTCTGTTCTTGGTCCTTTATAGTTTCACTTTACATGCTAACATGCCAATTGATTTGTCAATCAAGCATTCAGATCCCACTGATCTCCCTCCTTGTACACTTTATGAACTGTTGAACTGTTGATTGGTGACGATGCTAAGATCGGTGTGATGATATAAAAGCCTTAATGAGGGCGATGATACGCTGGTGTAACAGGTTTCTCTCCTGTAATCTTCTGACATGGAGACAGACAGACGTTTGTATTTTTACTCAGATCAGGACGACCGTCAGCCTTAGCCGTGTTAGCATTGAATCATTAGCGTGTGTGTAAGCTGACATAAGTGATCCTTGAAAGATATCTCCTCAGGTTCACAGCTCAGGATCCCAGAATCAGGGAGAAGATGAGTTCAATTTCTGTCTCTGTTTGACGAGAGGAGTCCAGGACGTGTTGAGGTTGTAGTTTATTTACAGTCAGTAGTTCCTCACTGTGAACCAGCACTGAGTATAAAGTTTAATGTTAGAAATGTTCTGCAGCTGTTACACTGACTGATGCTAACCTGCATATGTTGGACTGTTAGCATCATTAGCATTAATCATCGGCTGATTGGGACGATACAGGAGGTTTTGGGGTTATTGAAGACTCTGAACAGCTTTATACTCATCAGTTCTGGTTCCTGTTGCTGGGACGTCGACTACTAGCTTCCCAGAAGAGTTCAACATTTTAAGAAATACTGTTAAACTGCTGCTTTCAGTCTGTATGCTAAGCTAGGCTAACCACGTTCTGACTCCAGCTCTGTACTCAGAGATTCATCAGAAAGAAAGAGACTATTTCCAAATGTGTCAAACTTTACCTTTAAGCCAAAATGTGAGGAGGATGGGTTTCAGTTGAGGATCGCAGTGACGACAGACTGACCAAAGACTTCCTGGTGTCCTCCGTGGGACTGAATCCAGCTGAGGGAACCAGTCTCTGATGAGCTCATCAGGGTGATTTGTTGTTTTCTTTCTCACTTGTTGGGCAACTTCTCCTCAGCGGCGTTGCTCTGAGATCTGCTGTCAGGAAATAATAACCTGTGTGAGTATCACAAAGCTGAAGAGACGAATGTTAAACTGTGAACACTAGAAATAAAAACTAAAACCTCTGGAGGTCTGTCTGACGTCTGTGTCCTCAGCAGAGGATGTGTGTCTGTAGCTGACTTCAAATCATTGTGTCCAGTTTTATTCTGTATTTTATGGAGCCAAAGTCAAAAGAGAACGTCATTACAGCAGTGTAAAGTCTGCTGTAGTACTCGAGTATCGTCAGCTTCATGTAGTCGAGGGTTTATATACAACAACCTGCCACCAGATGTTGCACTAGAGCAGCAGCGTCTCCGACCACAACAAAGGTCTCTGCAGCCCACCACACTCTGTCTGAACAGAAACTAAAACTCATTAAAACGTCTCTGTCTTTCTAACAATCAGCAACAGAAATAAATAAATTCACAGACGCAGTAATAAATGAATGAGACCGTAGTTTCTTATACCTGGAAGGCTGAGCTGTATTCAGTTGGTTGTGATCTGCAATTTCACCTCTAGATGCCTCTAAATCCTACAGACTGGACCTCATGTCATATATAGATATATATATATATAGATATATAGCTACAGTACAGACTATCCTTTGGTATTTTCATACAACAGAACAGTTTTTATTGATGGTAAAAACTTATTTATACAGTTTAAAATCTTCATTTTCAATATAAAATATGGATTAAAACCCAACAGCACTAATATTATTTTACTGTAATGAATCACTTCTACTGTATTTATTACGCCAGAGTTCTGAAGAACCACAGCAAACTGACGGGAACAGTTTAATATATAAAGATTATTGTCAGATTCTGGATCTCTGAGGACCCCCAGGGATGTTTGTTGTTTGTTGTTGTTTGTTTGTGTTCAGTATCGTGTTGTGTTGATAAAACTCTTGCAGTAAATGTAAATGTTTCCAGAACCTCAATAAAAAGACCTGAAGAACACATTGAATCATGTAACCTGTGATCCACCTGTACACAGTCCACCTGTACACACAGTCCACCTGCTGCAACAAACAGGAAGCAACAAGGTACAGACAGCAGCCGTCTGCAGGACAGATATTAATATATTTATACACACATATATATA